TCTAACCAAAAGACAAAGGATCCGCTCTCTCCTAGACCCAGTTTAAAAATTCCTGTAGAGGACAGTATTAAGGGTTTCTATGCCCATGCCTGGGACCAATTTATTGCCTGAAGGGCTGAGGCAATACCATGACAGTAGCCAGGAGAGTGGAATCTGTTAATAGAAGAATAGGGGGCCGGGCAGTCTGAACATAAGATGTGTCCTAAGATCTCCCTTCTTCTGGAAACTGTCCCTTCCCCTCCATCTAGAGAGAACCATCCTGAAACACTGACCCCTTTGCCATGTCAATGGTTAGACACTGATGCTAGTCCATCAGAGTCTTCTCCCAGGAATTTAGAATGGGGGCTTGGAGAGGCCAGCTTGGCCTGCTGCTTGCTTGAAATCTGAGGAGCTGTTGGAGGAGCCATTTCTTCACCAGCAGTCTGGGAGGACTAGGAAACAGAAAGAGTGGGGCAGTAAGACAAAGAGGGAAGGGAAACAGCAATTTACAAAGAGATGCAGATGCAAAGGGCTGAGCATTCTGATGGGATCTGTGTCCTGGCTCCAGTGATTCCTGGTGTCCAGCCACATCCCGGCTGGCTGCCAGCTCTGTGTAACACCCCATATCCACATAACCCACCTTCTCCTTAAGGAAACTCAAATTGCACTTCTGTTGCTTGTAACCAAAAGCATTCTGATACTCTGTCTCATTCTAAAAACACCAGCCTCAACCCTGGCACTGCAGAGTGGCACAGTTAAATGGGTGGGTTTGGGTTCCAGCCTTCCTCGACTGAATCTGAGCTCTGATTCTCACTAACTCTGTGACATCAGGCAAGTTATTTGACCTCTGTGTGTCAGTTTCCTCGCCTGTAAAAGGAAATATTAATAGTAGTTGCAGTGTTGTGAGAATTTAAGTTAGTCCATGTAAAGCACAGTGCCTGGCACATAAAAATCACTCAATAATCATTAGCTATTATTCATAGTAGGAGAAGACAACAGTGCCTGGGAGACAGTCTAGCCAGGGATCGTACCCACAGCATGGGGGATGTCGAAAACTCTGGCCACCATTCCAGACACTTGGCCTCCACTAGATATAAGCGATATCCCGCACTTCCTCTAAGAAAGCTGAATTTTACTCTAATGCTTGTATTGGGGTATAAGGATATTACCTACCTCTGAAACTGTTACTTTTAAAATATGAAATCTGAGTGTCAACTTATACATGGAGTGGATGATGAGACCCACATGTAGTTTAATCTATGTGCACGGACATTCTATATAATGAAATGTTCCTGTAGTATTCATACGCATGCAAATGCAATAACACTAGAGAGAACAAAGAAAAGCAAGGAGTAAAACTGTCAAGTGACATACGCCTTTAAGGGAACATCCCTGCTGTGATGCAATGTTCGGAGAAATCATTAGCGCATCTGAAACCTAGGCTGGTTGGCGTCTTGACTAGCCTTTGGTTTACTCTAGCAGCCACTAGTTTATACAGTAGGTAGTTAATGCAGTCAACTTAATTTACTTTCACTTTTAGTGATCTCATTTGGGGAACAGCTAAAAAGGAATGAGAATTAAAGATTGAGAGCAATTTTTAAAAAAATGAAAAGAATAAAAGCAAGGGGAAAAAAGAAAAGAAGAGAATCAAACCCCTTTGGCACCCATCTAACTGGCCCTTTTTTACTTCCTATTCCTTACATTCACAAATAGTATACATCCCAATCTCTCTTCCTAAAGAGTGAACTCCTTGAGGATCCGAGCCTGGGCTGTCTGTTGTCTCCCACACAAGTGCTCGCCCTTGGGCCTGACCCACATACAGTAGGACCCAACTGTTTGCACTTGCCAACTGAAGGGTAAAGACTAAAAGGTACAGGACGAGAGTACATAGGACAGTTATCTGAAGGCTGGACTGGAGTTCCTCAGAAATGAGGCATTACTAGAAGATCTCACAGATGAGATGCGTGGGCATTGATGGTTAAGGTGGAAACTGGAAGACTTTAGCAGTGGAAATGATGTTATATTAAATCTGGTCGTACTTCGCTTCAGTGAAACTAGACTTTCCACAAAGAAAGTTCTGTGATGAGGAGCGTCTCTTCCACCCTTCCGTGAGCAAATCTGCGCTGCTTAACACACTGCTACAAGAATCGTGGGATATTTCACATCTATCTTACATCCATTGTAATCTGTCAGAATCCATTTCATAGATGTCGCTTCCCAACAAAGCATGCTGAATCCTTTAGACACTCATTATTTACCAGAACAAATAGAAACTCTTCTTTTAAGAACCATAATCTGTCTCCAGAATATTGAGACAAACCTACTTCCTCCTCCTTCCTATTACCCCTCCCCCTTCCACCTATTTCCCTCACACATAAGGCCTCTACGTCACTGACTTTGCTCTTCACCAGGATGCCCTCGCTATTGGCTAATTTAGGAATTAATTACACATATTTTCAAATGATTCTCTGTTTTACGTATTCTACAATAGTTGAGCCCAACTGCACTGTCAACTCAAACAGGGACTGGACAATGGAGGGCAGTGGTTAAGAGCACAAACATGAAAGTCGAACAACCTGTGTTTGAACCTAGGTCTTGCCACTAACTAGCCTGGTGTCCTCAGGCCAGTTACTTAACCTCTCTGTGCCTCAGAAGCCTCATCTATAAATGAGGATGAAGATGCTCACAGTAGTTAACAATAACTCTACTGAATAGGGTTGTTGGGAGGATTAAAATAGTTGCAACATGTGAAATTCTCAGAAGAATGCATGGCCCATCGCACTTGAGAAGGTTCATGCTTGTTATCTCCCACAGACCCTAGCACCCTGCTGTACAAATGGTTTTATCGATAAATACATGTTCATTTCTATAACTTTTTCTTGCATATATAGTACATGTATAATGTTTAGCCACTAGAAAATGCATGACATTGAAAATACATATAACAAAAGGAAAACACCAGCAATGCCACCACCCAGAGGTAATACATTAGTATTTTCATATATTCTATTCATTAATTAAACATTTACTGAGTATCTAATATATGAAAGATTTCACACTCTTGCTGGAGCTATAATGTTAATAATAAATAGACATAGGTCTTAGAATTTACAGTCTAGTGGGGAGAGACACACCTTAATCAAGTAATAATACAAATACATACGAAGCTGCAACTGCGATAAACACTATAAAGGAGGGTACACGTGTAGTAGGGAAATGAGACCTAGTTGTGAAGGCCTGTTATCTGAAGGTTGTGAGGAAGTGACTACTGAGCTGAGACTCAACTCATAGGCCTTAACTAGGGGAATTCAGAAGGAAAGAGCATGCCCAACAGAAGCACAGTAAGTCCAAGGCCCTGCTGAGCGAGGGCGCATAGAAGGGAATCAGAGGGTCTGATGAGCCTGTAGTGTGCACGAGACAAAGCTGCTGAGTTAGGGAAGGACAGACCTAACAGAGCTTAGAATCCTTAGTTTAGACATTATATTCGCTATTCATTCAACAAATTTTGCCTATGAGGAGTCAGGGACACACATACTTTACAAAAATTGGATTACTACCATACATTGCTTTTATTATGAACCTTTTTTTGAACAATAAATATACAGTATTTTAACTCTTCTTGTTGGAAATATAGACTGTTTCCAACTTTCCACTATTATTAACAATGACGTAACAACAATATGGACACTTGTCCAAATATTTCTTGGCATAAATTCCTACAAGTGCAATTGCTGGTTCTGCAAATTTGTTAGAATATTTTAATCTAAATCGTGTCTGGAAAATAAGCATATTCAATTGTCAAGATTTGATACAAAGTGATTCTATGGTCTTTTGAGGTTGGTACCACTGTTACATTTGGAGGCCTTCTCTGTGACTTTCAGAGCCCGATTTTTTCATTTTTTTCAGCGTGTGAGGAAATCCCTTCTATTTCTGATCCCCAGGGGCTCTTCTCACAAGTTCCGATAACTCACTACTGCCTGCCTACAAAGTTACCTTTTACGAAGTTTGACTGTCCTACTTCTGGGCTATAGGAGACGAAAGGCTTTCTTATCTGTCTCTGAAAGATCCCCTGGACTTGAGGCACACTGGAAGAGAAGGTAGTTTCTGACATTCCTTTCCTCTCCCCTGACCCACTTGGTCCAGTTCCGTTTTCATGCAGTAAATCCACTAACTTGTTAAAAGCAGAATGAGCTCAGATGATTCTATTACAGGCTGAGGTTTTCCATGCTATTGAGGTGACAGATGCCATCTTCTCCAGCCTTGGTCTTGCATCTCCCCCTCTTTCAACATCTCCTGGCAAACTGTCCTTTTCCTCTTTCAAAGTCTTGTTTGTATCCTGACCCTTGCATTACCTTCTAGGGACCCATTTACCGTTAGATAATTTTTAGGTTTCTAATGATTAACATCGCCAATCTGTTCACACTTTATTCTTTGCATTCCATTTCCTCATTGAAAAAACCTGTTTGCAAGGTCAGTGGGACGCTCTCTAAAGCAGCCAGTTTGGGTAGACCTTGATAGGATATCGGGTGTCTAGATAAAGGTAGGTTTACCATGTGCCAGGCACAGTGCTAATTGCATTATATAGGTTTTTCCTTTTAATCCTCATGACAACCCTGTGAGGTAGGTGTCATTACGGTCCCCATTTTACAGAATAGAGGCTTAGGGAGGTTGTCACTTATCCACAGTCACACTGCTACTATGTGGGGAGCGGACCCCACTTCTGCTTGTAAACTGTGTAGATGAAAAGGGACGCAGCAGGCCAGGAAAGAAACTATAAAAGGCGTAAAAGAAGAGAAGGAAGCGTAAGGAGGATGGCGGAAGCGGCCCCTTTCCGGGATCCTTCCCAACCAGGGATGAGCCACCAGTGAAGCCCCAATGCCCCCCAGCGGCAGCCACTCAGCTCAGCCCGCAGTGTTTCCGGCCTCGGGACGGCGTCCTTAACGAGCGCCCTGCGTCGGCGCAGGTCACGTGCGTGCGTGTGGAGTAAGACGTCGGGTGAGGAGGCAGGCCTTCCGGTCCTGGTCAAAGCCGTTTCCGGCGGGAGCCGGAAGACCGTTCCGGATGGCGTCGGGGGCGGCCTGCGCGTGGAGGTGAGCAGCGGGGCCGCCGGCCTTCCAGCGCCTGCTGGTCGCCTCATGTTGAGGGCCGCTGCCGCCGGCCCCCGCTCGGATCGGCGAGACTGAGGTGCCCGGGCAGCGCGCAACATGTCTTCGGGTCTCCGCGCCGCCGACTTCCCCCGCTGGAAGCGCCACATCTCGGAGGAGCTGAGGCGCCGGGACCGGCTGCAGAGGCAGGCGTTCGAAGAGATCATCCTGCAGTGTGAGCGGCGGGCGGGCCCCGGGAGTGGGCGGGCAGAGGGGCCCTGCGGAGGCACGAGGGGCGCCAGCGGGAACCGGAGGCTGAGCCCCCGGCGCCGCCCGCTCGGCTTGCAGCCGCGCGGGATACTCGGAGCTTCGGACGCCCCCTACCTTTTTAGATCTTTTCCTCTTCCTTTCAGTGTATCTTTGGGTGTCACTGTGGAGCGTTTTCCCTGCTAAATCGTGTGTTCCTCGTGGGCAGGCACCGTTTACGTTTGTTTGTGAACCCCAGCAGCTCGCACAGTGCTTGTGTGCTTCAATAGGCAGGCTCCAGAAACGTCCTGTTTCGGGCACCGTGTTATTGGAGCGGGCACTGAACGAGGCGTTAACTCATACAGTTAACATCGTTTCCTGAGTGTAATCAAGTGTTTGGCCTTTGATTCCTCAGACCGCTTGGCCTTCTTCCAAACATCGGTGTTCTTGACTACACATTTTGAGTCTGAACGTGCTTTTCAGATGGGACATCATAGTCTTGACTGTCATTGGAAACTTCCCTGTGAAAGAGGTGGCTTTCTCCCTCCCACCCCCGCTGCAGTTTGAGTGCAGAAATGTTTGTGCCCCTAGATGCATTCGAAAGAGCATTTCCCAGGTACCCCCTTCCCAGTTTGTGCCGTCACTGGTGACACGTTTTGGGGTGAGAAATGGGCACTTTTCGGTCCTGTGGTTCCATCGACCCCTTGAGGTAAGCACGACAAAAGCCTCTTGAGTTATGCTAATGGATGAGAGTCATAGTAATAGTTGCCCTTTATTGAATTTCGGTTGTGCTAAGCCAGTGGTTCCCAAACCTTCCTGCGCATTAGCATCACATGGGGATTCTGATCTTTTAAACATTACAAAGCTCCAGCCACACCCCAGGCCCCACTATACAGCAGTATATAGGGGTGGGACTTGGGTGTCAGCATTTTTTGATGCTCCCCAAGTAACTGTTACGTGCGAAGAAGTTTGAGTTACGGTGGTAAATATTTGGCATGTATCATTTCTCGTTATCTTCCTGAAAATTCTGTGAAGCGGTCCCGTTGTTGCTCTTTTTACAACAGGAAGCTGAGAGAGGTTAAGTAAACCTCAGGGGGGGGGGCACAGCCGATGGATGGTGGGACCTGGATTTGAACCCAGACTTGATGGCTCGTAACTTTTGCATTTGCTTTTCTCTTGGGGTCCCCCAAGAAATGGCCCTTCTTTGCTTTGGCTGAGCCCGTCCTCTTACAAGCCCTCTTACAAGGTGGGAAGAAAAGGGAGATGATGTGCCCCCGTTGTGCTCATGCCCCGGGAGGCAGGTGCTATTTCAAACCTAGAAGCACAGGCCACCCCTCTTTTTCAAATACTGTCCCTTCACAGGTTACTTAAGTTCAGGTCTTGGGGTGTTTATTGAATGCTTGTTCTGTAAAAGCTAGTACGCATTGAAGGTCTGACTCCGCCCCTTACTGGCCTCTTCTCTTGGCTTTGAGTCTGGTTTGCTGCATCTGTAAAATGGGGAGGAAGCGGCTCTGCCTGCCTCATAAAAGCAAGGCTGTGCACGTAAGTGCTTTGAAAGCCCACTGCGCAATACTCTATAAGTGGAAGGTGCTGTAATCGCGTTGGCACAATCTGAATGTTTTTCTGCACCTTGAAAGTGGACATCTTGATGGCGTGGGAGGATGTAGGAGAAAAGTCAGAAGGAAAGATCAGTCCCAGAAGGGGGCACATCTTTAAAGAGCTGCGGTGAGCAGTGAGTACCTGAGGGGCTGGGAGAGGGGATGGGGTGCCAGGCGGTGCGGGGGCAGGAGAGGAAGACTGGCTTTGCCTGGTGAAATCTTCCCTTTCGGCTGGAGATTGCCACGTGGGAGGTGACTCCTGGTTTGCCTGGGGAACACCCCACGCCTCATTCCAGCCTTCCTAGTCAAGTTTTGACTGTTTATCGGCCCAGCGTTCCTTTTCAGTCCCTGAAGAGAAAATGAAAGTGGAGTCAGAGGGACACCTTCCTACTGTCTCCATCCTTCTCTTCAGTGAGAGGAACTTTTAGGAGGGATCCCTCTTGAACGCCTCATGTCCTTTGAAAGACCCAGTATTATCACAGAGCACCCAGTTCCAATGTAACATTTGGAAGATCTTAGAGCCCTTTGGCACTGGTGAGTGTCCACGGCTCCCTGTTCTGGGCTAATGCATTAAATAGATGAAGAGAGCGTTTCTGTTTCTGCCCAGGAATTCCATTTTCAGATAATCAAGGAGAAAGAAATCAAGACTCTTTAAGAGAAGAAATAAGCTCTTCCAACAGGAACAGTCGCTGGTGTAAACCCTATCAAGATTTTGTTCTTGAGCAGTTCTAATCTCAGACTTTTAGGGTCACTTTCTTGTTCTGCTTAGTGCATCCCCCACATCTGATCTAGCTGGCCCTGGCCCCACTGTGTGCCTGTCATTCTTAACTACATGTCATTTCCAGCCCTGACTCTTCTTTTGAATTCCTGCACTGTGTTCCCTGTCACATTTATTGCATTCAGAAAGAGAGCTCATTTTCTCCCTTAAGCTCTCTGTTGCTGCATTCTCTGACACATTCGTATCTTCCACCCAATTGCCTGGGCAGGGAAGCAACCTCAGAGTGATCTTTGACTCCTTACTAATAAATATCTGGTCATGCCATTGCCTGCTTTGAAAATCTGTTATTTCACCATTGCCAGTAAGAAAAGCTCTGAGTTTCGCATCCTGCCTTTTCACGTGTTGGCTCCAACTGTTATTGCCATACAGCTCAGCCGGCGCTCCTTCCTGGACTGCCTGTCATCTTCACCAGTGAAACCGCCAGAGAAAAGGAGCCAGGGCGCACTCTATATACTCGAGTCCCCTCCCCCGACACACCCATTACACTGGAGTTCCTCAGGGTCAGGGACTCGCATTTGTATTTGTATCCCTCGTGCCCTGATCTCAAAAATGAAGTTCCCAAATGTAATACTAAGGTAAAGTTCTGTATTGCCTAGAGGTGCGTAGCAGTTCATCTTTTCATTATGTTTTCATATGTTTCTTAGTTCTTGCTCCTGAGGTAGAAATAGGTAACTTGTGGGCGTAGAAAGCATTTTCAACTGCTGTTGTTAATAGCGGGAAATTTATTTATTTTTTTTAAAATATAATTGCCCAATGGTGGAGGAAACAGTTTAATAAATGTGTATGTATAGATATAATAGATTAATATAAAGTCATTTATATTAAGGACATGAAATAAATATTGATTGACTAATAGGGGGGACATTCTCGCAGGATTGTTTGCACCGGTTTCTTGGCTGGGCTGCCCTGGCTTAGGCCAAGCAGCATCTAAGGAGTGTGTGCTCCTGGATTTTGGATGGTTGCTATAATCAGTGACAGCGTATACAGTACCTGGTACTTGGATACCTAATAAAAGTGAAACATACCCAGTCGTCTTCTGACTGTTTATTTTTTTGGTCCAAATCTTTATGAGACATTAAGTAGTAATAAAGTATACATAAGTTATAATAAATCACTTGATTTTTCTCTCTCTCTCTTTTTTTTTTCTTTTGATAGATAACAAGTTGCTGGAAAAGTCAGATCTTCATTCAGTGCTGGCCCAGAAGCTACAAGCTGAAAAGCCGGACATACCAAACAGGCACGAGATAAGGTATTTGGAAACTACCCTGTATTATTTGTATCTCTCCCTTAATTAAAACTTGTCTCGGTTCACTTGTCACTTCTCTAACCAGTTTTTGTCAACTCCTTTCAAATAAGAACTTCTGAAGCCAAGTGACTAAAATGATTTTTTTTAAAGATACAGACCTATTAAACTAGAAGGGTTATCATGAGTAAGATGCTGTAAGCTAGAGAAATTGCTTAAGGTGGGTAACTAGGCCAGTTCCTCCTCCAGCCCGTCAGAATTCACTTTTCTAAATCACCAGACAAGGAAGCATTCTTGAGCGGATTTACACAAATCTTGGTAAGTCAGGATTGTCCATAAGTTGCTTTTTATACAATACAGGTCTGTTTGATCCTTTTTCCGTTCAATGTTTTTTCAACATCTTTTAGTAAATTGTGAAATTAAACTAGCAGATTTCAATAAGCCTTTTTAAAAAGAAAGATTAGAAAAAACCCTGCATTTTAAAGGAAGGGTAAGTATTGTCTCATTAAATATGCATGTACGTGTTCACAGTGGGGGTTGATGTGTTTACCTGGGTTATTGTAAAATATTTCTTTTTTAGAGTCATGGTTCAAAAAACATGAAAGTCATACTTCACAGGGTAACTTAAATGGCATCATTCTAGAGTCTTACTGTCCCCTTTTTCCATATGTTCATTTCGTATATTAAATTTGATGGTTTGTGTCAGAACAATACCCACTCTTGCTCTGAAATCCATTCTGATTTGCATATCAGTTAACACTTAGCAATTTTAAGAACAAAGTTGACAGTAATTCAGGGTTTTATAAAAACCCAGGATGCTAGATGTAGTTTAAGTTCTTTTTTTTTTTAAGATTTTATTGGAGAATTTGGGGAAGGAGAAGAGACAAGTTGCTGTCCCTTTGTTCTTCAGTCTAGTTGTGGAGGACGTAGCTTCACCGGCCCATGTTGGTATTATGATCATTTGCGCTCTTCCTGGGTGAGGCAGATTGGTCGCTGGTCACTGGACAGCGGCTCATGCTGGCTGCCGGCCGGCCCCGCATACTGGCTGCCAGCCACTCAAGGTAGCTTACGGCAGCCCACTGCAGCCTACCCCCGGCAGCCCAGCTCCAGGTCAAGCTATTGTTCACCATCTTAGCTGTAGAGGGCGCAGTGTCACTGGCCCATTTGGGATCCGAACCGGTGGTTCTGCTGCTCAGAGTTCGCGCTCCCAAGCCAACTCTTAACCAACGAGCCACTCGGCCAGCCTTAGTTTAAGTTCTTTGCTCCCATAGCTGAATCTTCTGGGAAATTGCCTGCCATCCATGTTTCCTCAGCTGGCAGGATAGCCTCCTGGCAGACAGAGTCCTCTCCTTGCTTACTAACAGTCCAGGAGACTGTACCTGGCGTGACCCTGGAACGCCTTCTGTAGTGTTGAAATTATTGTGGTGCTGTGGCCTATTTTAGGTGTAGAGAATGCCATTTCACCTTTTTTAAAAGCATTTATTTCTACCAGGTTGCACTCTTGGTGACTATATTCCTGCATCCTTTATCTGTTAGACTCGTTTACCTGGGAAGGTATTTATTATAAGAAAATATACAACAATCTGGGCTGAATATCACTTGGGCAGTGGTAGTTTGATTGGAGGTGCTTCCTTCCCCACAAGCTTGTGTCCTTATCAGGCCTCTCCTCCTGACTGCCTTGTTTCTATTAATGGCATCTTGGTTTTCCAGCAGTCATCTGTGATTCCTTTTTCCCCTCAGTATGCTGTCCCTCCCCATATGCAGTCGGTCACCCAGGCCTGTTGATTCTTGGCCCACAGTCCCTTGTGCACCTGTCCCTTGGTTTACACTTCCTTTACCACTCCCTTCGTTTTTCTGTGTCCTTTCATTTCTGGACAGTGGCAGGAGCTTTCTGCACTCAGATGTGTGCCTGCAGTGTGGGCCAGGCTTCAGGGGCACAGCGCCCACTAAGCCAATCCCTGCTCAGAAGGAACCCAGTCTAGTGTTGGAGACCAGCTCCAGGGGTTTTGCTAGTGTCATAAGTGTATGCACAGAAGATGGCTACCTAAGTGGCTTTGTTTAAAAAAAAAAATTTTAACTGAGTAAATTTGAAGATCTAATTGGATTTATTAAGCAATTCATAAATCAGGCAGCGTCCCATCTAGCAATGAGAAGGGGTTGCACAGAATGGAAGGTTTTTGTAGGAAGAAGGGTGGGGCATGGGAGTCAAAACAAAAGGAAGGATTGTTTTGCCTCCCCCACCAAGGGTTTTTATCATGCAGATTACCTCTTTCTATGGGAGGAGGGAGGAAATGGAGAGGGCCCACGTGACAGATTACCTCATCCGTGCTGACCCGCAGTTTCCAGACTGGGAGATTATGTTTTGGGGAGAGGTTGAAATTGCACTTAAATCAGGTATTGAGCTAGGTTTCGTGTCATGGGCTTCCAGCACAAGCCATGCCATTTTGGGCCTGCGGTTTTTCTCTTTTAACAGTTCCCTTCTCTCTCCTTCTGTCTCTAAATCCTGCCCGTCTTGTTTTAATCTTAAAACACATTGTGTTTAAAAAGCTTTATCTACGTCACTTATGTGACTTTAATCGCTTTGCTTACTAAACAGATTCAAGTTAAACTCTTCAGCCTGGAGACAGTGAATTCTCCAATAGTAGTTTCCTAAGCTCCTTCCTGGACAGCAGCTTCTGGGAACCAGTTACAAATGGGAAGTATTGGGCCCAGCCCCAGACCTACGGTCTCAGGAGCTCTGGGAGTGGGCCCGGTAATCTGTTTTAAGAAACCCCTTAAGTGATTCTGATGACCCGGAACTGTTGAGAACCACTGTGTTGGTCGTTGGGGATTAGCTGTATCAGATCCTGAGAGCCTGCTGGAAATGCCGGCTATGGGCTCCAGCCTCCGGCTATGGGCTCCAGCCTCCGTCTCAGGCCAACTGTATCAGTCTGGCTGGGGCCCAGGAATCTGCATTTAAACATGCCAGCGAGGCGATTCTCCTGTCTGCCTAGTGAAGCCCGTTGGTAGGAGGTTGTAAGGAGTTTGAAATAAAATTGGAAGTGGGAGGAGGCTTTGAGCCGAGCAGTGAGTGACTTGCCTTCTTGCCTTGTCTCCTGAACCTCCTCTAGAATGCCAGCTCCTTTTCTGAAGTTTTGCATATTCTACATTGCTTTGCATTAAAATAAGGATATTTGATTAAAAAAAATAATTTCTAATCCCCATATACCATTAGCTACCCAGGCCTGTTTGTTCTGCCTAATTTAGGATGGTTTCTTACAAGGTACGATCCGCTTTTTCTTCTCATGGCTTCTACTCTGTGGGCTAAGTTTGAGGAAGCACAGGCTGCCTCACAGGTTGGGGCGTTTGCGCGCGAGCGTGTAATACGCTTGTAGAGACGGAGGGTGGGATCGGGGGAGCGCCATGCTGCCCGCCTTTCCCTCTTCTTCTTTCATCACCGGTCTTGGAGGAGGCAGTTCCCCCTCCCTTCAGGTGGGGGCACCCTAGTTTTCCAGCTTTTTTCCCCTTCCGCATCAACGTGCTTTTCCTGGGCAACGGTCTCAGCGACTTGCCATAGTCTGATGACTCACATCTGTGGCTCAGCCGAGACCCCTGTCCTGAACTACAAATCCACAGTTTTGGTCACTACTGCTGTTTCTGAGATGGTCTGCCAACACCTGCAGAGTTCCCCAGACTACACTGACTCTTGAGGCAATCTGAGCTCAGCCCCGTGCTTTCAGATGCGTCTGTCTGCTGACAGCTGCTACGTGTCAGCCTCCAGCTTGGACCCCTTTTCTTAAAGTTCAGGCTCTAATATCCAATTTCCACTTGACATACCCACTTGGATGTCCAAACTGAACGCCTCAGCCCTTCCCCACACCTCCTCCTCTCATAGTCCTTCCCTCTTAGCAGGTGACGCCTACATTTTATCAGTTGCTCAGATCAAAAACCTTGGAGTCCTTCCCGGGGCTGGCCGAGTGGCGCGATGGTTAAGAACTCGCTTGGGATGCCAGAGGGCCCCGGTTCGGAACCCACATATGAGGGCCAGTGACACTGCCCTCCACAGCTAAGATGCTGAACAACAGCTCAACCTGGAGCTGGGCTGCCGTGAGTCGCCAGCGACGGCATAGGCTGCAGCCCCTGTGGCAGTGGGTTGCCATGGGCTGCCGTGTGTAGCCAGCAGCTGCAGTGAGCAGCCGACCAGAAGCCAGCGACTGATCTGCCTCACCCGGGAAGAGCGCAATGATGGTGCCAACTTGGGCCAGTGAAGCAACATCCTCCACAACTAGACTGAAGAACAAAACGACAGCAACTTGTCTGTCCCCTTCCCCCAATTCCCCAGCACTGTTCCCATCCCCCCAATTCACCAATAAAAAAAAAAATCTTTAAAAAAAAAACCAAAAAAAAAACCACCTTGGAGTCCTTCTTGACTCCTGTGCGCATACCCCACATCCAGTTCAAGGGCAAATCCTGGAACCTCTCTTCGGAATGGATCTAGCTAGAATCTGACCACATCACACCACTCCACTGCTGCCGTCTTCACCTGAGCTCCAGTGTCTAGAGCATGGACTGTGTAATACCTGCTAACTGGTCTCCCTGTTTCTACCCTTGCCCCCATCCCCCTGCAGTCCGCCCAGCAACTATAGTGATGCTTTTAAAACAAGTCTTCCCTCTGCTTAAAACCCTCCACTGGCTTCCGGTCACATCTAATAAAAGCCTAAGAGACTCATGACCTCCCTACTCCCTGACCTGTCTCCTGTCCCCGCTGCACCTCAGGCTGCATCACACTCTCCCCTGAGCACACCATCTGTGTCCCCTCCGCCAGGCCTTTCCAACACATGCTGTTCCCTCTGCTCAGAAGAGCCCAGCCCCCAGGGGCTGCGTGGCTTGTTCCTCACCCCTTTCTGGTCTCTAGTCGAGTGTGACCTCTCAGAGAAGCCTCCTTTAAGTGCCTGCGTAGACCTGCTTCGCTTTTCTTCACGGCACATCTGACCTCCTGCCTTCGTGTAGTTGCTTGTTTGTTGTCTGTCTGCTCCTCACTGATTGTCAGCTTTGTGTGCACTGCCTTCTCCCAGCTCCAAGCGTAGTGCCTGGCACATGGCTGGCACTCTCACACTTGTCCTGTGAGCTTTCTCCATGTTGACCTAAGCCTCATCCTGCAGTCCCCCCTTTATTCAGGTGTCTCATGTCTCCTACGTTCCACTTCAGGTTTATAGTGGAGAAACAGCTGCTTTATTGGCTATGTTGTCGTGTACAGGTTTGAAATTCCCAAGTTACTGCCCCATGGCCTGATTGAAGGGGCTTGGGTCTGATTTTTTTTTCTTTCTCTCCTTTTCATTCTCATCTTCCTGGTTTGGGGGTTTAGTCCTGGACATGATGGTGCGTGGAATGAGAGTCAGCTACAAGAAATGGCTCAGCTAAGGATGAAACACCAGGAAGAACTGACTGAATTGCACAAGAAACGTGGAGAGGTAAAGATAACCACTCCCCTCACCTGTCCTCAGCTCTGTGTGGGTCTTCGGGTGGGGAGGACGGGCGGGCAAGACTTCCGCTGGAGTTCGCAGCTGTTCTGGCTACATGTGGCATCACCAGCTCTATCTGTGGGAGTGAAACAACGGGAAAGGTGTGAGGTCTCTGCTTGCATCAGCAAGAGGGCAGTCCGTTGAGATAACTGCCCCGTCGTCATTCCAAGATGGCATGAAAAGTACAAGTGGAGGAACTTTAAAGGGAAGAAGCCCGCTCTTTGGTCCATTGAAGGTCTTACTAATACCTTCACAAAACTTTTGAGAGAACTCGGGCAGACAAGAGATCGGGGGGTTACTAGAGAGGAAGGGGGTGGAGGAGGGGCGAAACATGTAAAGGGGTTTAGTTATATGGTGACGGATGGAAGCGAGCCTTGGTAATGAGCACAGTGCAGCGTATATATAGGTGACAGGTTACAGATGATGTCGCACACCTGAAACTTCTATAAGGTCATACACCAGTGTTACCTCGATAAAGAAATTAAAATGAAAAACAATTTTTGAGAGTGAACCCTGCTATTTGAGAAAAAGAATCACTAGAATCAAATCCTGGGCTGTGTTTACCCTGGATGGTGATCTAACGGCCAATTGTGACAAAATACAGTATAATTTACTGTAAATAAAGAGGGACTCCAAATCAGCTGAATTGATCATTTTATCAGCTGAAGAGTCTGAAAAGGTAGCTGGGTGGAGGGGTAGACAGGTGCCCTCCACAGAACCTGGCAGTCCCCTGGAACTCTTCCCATTGGCCAAGGCTGCCTTCGGCAGGGACCAGCACACCCCATTCCCACGGGCACCCCCGCGGGCATCTTTTCGTGAAAATAAACACCACTATTAGTTTTCACTAGGGTCCTGAAATCCCTCGTTTATGAGTGTTCTTCTTTCCCGCAGTTAGCTCAGTTGGTGATTGACCTGAATAACCAAATGCAGCAGAAGGACAGGGAGATGCAGATGAATGAAGCAAAGTGAGTAGTGAGAGCACCTCCTTCGGGGCTGGTCGTGGGATCACGCCTCATTTACTGCGCGCCTGTGAGCAGGGCCAGTGGTGATCGGTGGCAAGTGGTAGCCACACTGGACTCAGCCTGCGTTTCAGTTCTGTGCACGCACAGCCTGGGATCTTTCCCTACCTGCTCTAAGTCTGGGAAAGGCAAGAACAGTGCCCTCAGCCTTCCAGGTTCTTAGCACACCCCTGGGAAGTAACCTTGGCCCTTGCACGTGTCCCGAGGTGTTCACACTTCTCCCCGTGGTCACTGCATAAGGGGGCTGGTATCTTCTGTGGTGGAGATGGGGCCAAGACACCGAGTATGTGGCCCTTGGGAACAGGGGTGAGTTTGTGGGCAGGATTATTCTCGATCAGGGAGAAGCCTGGCAGAGAAGATAAAGAGGGACTCCAAATCTGGGACCTTCAAGGTGGAAGGGAGCCTGGGTTTATCGGTGCCTTTTTCTTTAATATGCAGAGAGGGATCTCGAGAGGCTTGGAGAGGAATTCTCGCTCAGTGATAGAGCTGATGGAATACACAAGATTTCCAGCCTCCTTTTAAGCCCCTGTTAACTACTCTATTTAAACACCGAAAGCTCCCTCTTCTTTCAAGTCCTGCTTTAATTAGTCATTTGTAGCCTGGATGACTTTCACCGGAGGTGCATTCTCTCCTAATGGGGTTGCCCTGGGCTTGCCTAAGTGAGGGATCATGAACATGAAGTCTCCTGCATGGTGCCTGGTGTGATGGCCGAGGTCCTTGCTGGCGCCTGGGCTCACACAGCTTGAGCACCTGGCCAGGTACTCTGGTCCCGGTGCAGGGCTGGTGCACTGCGCCATTCCTCCTCTGCATGTTGTGCTTTCAGAATTGCAGAATGCTTGCAGACTATCTCTGACCTGGAGACGGAGTGCCAAGAGCTACGCAGTAAGCTACAGGACCTTGAAAGAGCCAACCAGACCCTGAAGGATGAATATGATGCCCTGCAGATCACGTTCACTGCCTTGGAGGAGAAACTGAGGAAAACTTCGGAGGAGAACCAGGAGCTGGTCACCAGGTGGATGGCCGAGAAAGCCCAGGAAGCCAATCGCCTCAACGCAGAGAATGAAAAGGATTCAAGGTGGGAGACCAGCTTGCAGCTGGTGGGTCCTTTTCTTGTAAAGTGAACCCGGGTCTTTGAAAAGAAAGAAACTTGGCAGCTCTGGCCGCAGGGTGAGGGGAGCGGGGGAATTGGAAAACACTAACAAAATTAGAAATAGCGATTATTTCAGTGTTTTGAGGTGAAAAGCTAATTCTTGAACAATATAAATTAAACCAGAATTAGAAAAAGAATGAAACTCACCCACCCAACCCCCAGTTTTATAAAATTGTTCAGACCCATACCAAAAATTCTGATACAACAAGACAATCGTTCACCCTTACATGCATACAGAGGTGAAATTCCTAAATCAGATTCATTGGTACTTTTTAAAAAATTCACTGCGTTCCCACAGGGAAGCCTCCCACCCTAGACACTAGGGGTAGTCTCAGTGGAGGGACATCTGGCTGATGAAAATCCTTGAGGCTATACATTCATGGGGAGGGTCCACCGTGCCACATGCACTTCCGTCAAAACCAGGAACAAAAGAAGGAAGCCCCCTCCACCCCCAACTGAGTGATGTTTTGGCCATCCAGCTGGATAGGACATCGGATGCAGGGCCACTGCAAAGAAGTGGGGGGGCGGTTTGTGGTTATCCACCTAGAAACCCTAAGAAAATCGGCTGAGAAACTAGTAGTGAGAGTCCAACAGAGATTAGAACATGATTTTAAATCCCCATGTCAGTAGTTAGGAATTTGAAAAGATTATTGCAGTTAACCTAAGAAAATGAATAAATGAAAATGACGAGTCTTAATGAGCACTAACCCTACCGAATAACATATTCAAGTAGATTTCGAAGTTTGTATAAAAACTGAAACCATAAAGTAGAACTAAAAAGTGTGACTGCTGTTTATTTTATGAAAAATCCCTAAATAGGAGTAATGGAGGACTTTCTAAATATTAAAAGGAATGGAAATAAAGAGGGAGTGGGCTGTATAAAATTTTTGTTTCTCAACATCAAAGAACATTAAAACAGTCAACTAAGATATGCTATTGTAAAATAAATATTCTTAGCGTAGGGTCAGTAAGGAATAGGACAGATGGACAGAAAGCATAGGTAGTCATAAAAGAAGTGGACGTGGGCAGTGAACTGGCAAAAAGGGTTGTTGGGAGGCAGATGGAAAGGGTGCCCATGGAAAACCTGTTTCTATAATACAACATGAAGAGCACTTGAGGGTGACTGGGGGCCTAAAAACTTCCCACTTGTTGGACTTCAACTTAAGGAAGTAAAGAGACTTGTTCACAGATTGTATTTTGTGATAGCACATTATTCATAGCAGTGAAAAATTAGAGGCAGTGTATCCCTAGGGGATAAATTGTGATGTTTTCATACAGTGGCATTTTATGAAGTCATTGAAAAATAGATGTTTGTTTATTTTTTAAAGATTTTTATTGGGGAATTGGGGGAAGGGAAACAGACAAGTTGCTGTCCTTTTGTTCTTCAGTCTAGTTGTGAAGGACGTTGCTTCACTGGCCCAAGTTGGGCACCATCATTGCGCTCTTCCCGGGCGAAGCAGATCAGTCGCCGGCTTCTGGACGACCGCTCATGGCGGCTGCTGGCTGCTGGCTACGCACGGTAGCCCATGGCAACCCACTGCAGCAGGGGCTGCAGCCTACGCCGTCGCCGGCGACTCACGGCAGCCCAGCTCCAGGTTGAGCTGTTGTTCAGCATCTTAGCTGTGGAGGGCAGTGTCACTGGCCCTCATATGTGGGATCCGAACCGGGGCCCTCTGGCGTCCCAAGCCAGCTCTTAACCAATGCACCACTCGGCTGGCCCTGAAAAATAGATGTTTTAAAGATACTTAGTGACATGAGAAAATGCATAAAATTAACGTAACCGAAAATAGCATAGAAATTCTTTTTACACAGCATGATCCAAATTTTGAATGAATTAGAAGGAAGGGATTATATTAATAGTATTTAATCTGGCCAGTGAGATTTGGTTCTTGTTTTCTCTTTTTTTTTACTTTTCTATATTTTCTAACCTTTTTAAGTTTCTAGTGTATTAAAAAATGAGCTGTCCTTTTTATATTCTTCCTGTCTTGTGCTTACTTTAAGTAAAACAGCTTGACTTATGCTGTGGAGCTCTTAGGCAGCTTAAGGGTAGAGAAGACTTCGGGGTTACCGGAAGTCTTCACGCTGCCTGTGGAACCCGCTGGAGGGCGAGTGGGCAGGCCTGTGGTTATGCTGTGAAGAGCCCTGCAGCCTCCCAGTGCAAGGAGCAGACACAGACTTTCTCAGGAAAATGGGCTGTGAGGCACACTACATGTCTGCCCTTGTTCCTTCCTCTGGAATGTTCTGGGGATACACAGCAGGTGTGTCGTCTGATTGCATATGTGGGGTCTGGAGGTTCCTTTTATTACTTTCCTCAGGTAGTGCCGCCTCCTCAGAAGCTTTCCCCTTCCTGCCAGTCCCCAAGATGACATGACCTCCTCCTCCCAGCAGCTTTTGTTTACCTGGGTCATAGGTGGCACACTCTTTTGAAATAGCTGTTTGTGCCCTGCGTCCCTCATGAGGCCGAGATATGTCCCCACAGTCAAGCACTGTGGCTGCTGTGGGTTATTTGAACTTGTACGAAGGTCGCGTCCTTTGAGCTGTTCTAATGAAGGCTGGGAGCAGGCGTTTCCTTCTCCCTGTGACCGTTCGTCTGTCCTTTACCCCCCTCTCCCCCAGGTGCCTTCCTGTAGAGGAGTGTCACACACCCACACTGAGATGGTGCTTTTCCTCAGGGACAGTTCATAGGATGTGTATTCCAGATAAGAAAAATTTGACAAACTGGATTTTTTGTCATTTGTTCTGTAAAACTTACTTTCCATCTTCCAGGTATAAAATTAAGATTGTAGTATACTTTTTCAAGTTATAGCCTCTTAAGATTCTGATAATGCCACTGGAGGACTTGTCCTGTTTTGAGAACTGTCACTGTGGTAGAAGCGTAAAGAATGCCAGCAGCTTCCTTGACTGCAGCTCAGTAGCAGTGCTGGAGTTCTGGATCGGGGGCCCTGCACAGAGAGGGTAACACAGGTGAAACTACCCCGGAAGAGAGAAGGAGGCCAAGATAAAAAGTAGGGCGCTCCTGCATCGAGGATCAGGGAAGGAGAGACAGAAATGGTTCTGGGTGGAGGTGACTGGTGACCATGTTAAAGTGTTGCTGCGGCGCAGACTTCTGTGGCCAGCTAGTGAACGGAAACCATGTACATTTTGATGGCTCAGGAATCTCCACAAAGCATTGTTATGAGGGTTAAATGAGTGAAAGCCTGTAAGATAATAAAACGGAGCCAGGCACAAGTAAGTTCTAAGTAAACCTTAACCATCATTCACACTCTGAGGATGTGAGTGTGAGGCTGTTTACAACAGAAAACTAACCCTGGACCCACCTGATGGACTTTTCTCTCCGGAGAGGTCCTGGGTCCCGACAGGCGGGTTATTGCCTTGCGGGTTCAGTGCCTTCTCTAATGACAACCCTCCAGGCTCTGCTCTGAAGTCCTTGGTAATGGGGATCCTTGCTGATGTCACCAGTGTGAGTTTGGGACTCTGGTATCTTTGTCCCAGGCTGTTATTTTGAATGCACTGAGTGTCCAGATGTGTTATCAGAGCAATTTGCTGAGAGCCGAAGCCCCATGCTTTGTTTAAGCCGACATAAATAGTGGGCTTTTTTTTTTATATATAGGAGGCGGCAGGCCCGGCTGCAAAAGGAGCTTGCAGAAGCAGCAAAGGAACCTCTACCCGTTGAACAGTAAGTAGAGACATGCCGATCAAAACTATGCTCTTAGTAATTTGATTGACTCTTTAAAGTTGTGGCTTTTTTTTTTTTTAATTTCTGTAAAACACTTTTGTAGATTATCAGAAGAAAACAAAGTTTTAAGGGACAAAATTAAAAAACACTCATTACCTTCCAGAAAGTTGTTCCTGTTTATACTCTTCATGAGCTGTGAGTCCTGACTTCCTGCACCCCTAACAGATGACAGCCTCAGTGTTTTCCTGTTGACATTTTGATCCGCTTTCTAGCCCTGATTGTGGCTGCTGCAGTGTGATGCTGGGCTGGGGTTCTTGCTGTTGCTCTCTCCTTGGTTTGTGACTTTAATTGGAGGTCTGGGCAAACCTTTGAAGAATAAGTGAAGACTAGGATCTCTTGGAACAAAAGGAATTGAATCAGTTTGGAGCTTTGCCTGATCTGGGGCTGGGATGGAGGGTCATCCCTAAGACTTGAAGCTCTGTTTTGAGAGCAGTGGCTATTTTCATGACGGAATTCCCTTTGCCTCTAGTTCAGGGTGTGTTCGTTTTCTATTGAAATATCCTGAAATGTGGCATTAGAATTATGACCCTCTAGTTTTTAAAACATTGGGTGCTTCCATAGCAGTGGAGGGGGAGTGGTTTAAATTCAGGTAGGAGTCATCTACCAGATGACTTAATTTATAAGAAAACAATAAGATTCTCATATCAAGCCTTTGCTTTAGATGTAGAATATGCGCTTTTCTATACTTTTAGATATGGAAAATGAGTCTCACAAGTATATTCTCAAAACTACAAAATAAATAATTGACCTGGAAATGAGATTTTGTTTCTGAAAAATAGCAGCGTACAAAGCAACATTTTCCCCCTCCTATTTGCCACCATAGACAGGTGACCAGGTGTAACAGGATTTAGACAGGCCTAACATCCTGCCTGAGATTGCACAGGAAGGGGCTGAGCGAGGCTGCAGAGCTGGGGTGTCTGACTGTGAAGGCCTGTTCTTCATCTCTGTGCTGCCTGGGGAGTTTCTGGGGGGAAAGGACGATTCCATCCTTGAAGGGTTTTGATAACCAGTTGCCACACCCTGGTCTTCTCTCATGGCCCCGGGCCTTTGCACAGTTCCAGGTACGTTTATGGCCATGGAATTCTACCTGAAGGCATTTACATAGGCTCAGCTCATGTTTGGTGTTCCTACCAGCTCTGCCCTTCGGTCGTCGCCCTTGTGTGAACACAAGTGGCTCCCCCAAACCACAACCGTGAAGAAAGCCCAGCCTTGTTCTCTTTCTGCAAGCCATCCTGGCCCAGACTGCGTTCAGCTACACAGAACCTAGACTCAGTAGCCAAGGAAAATAAATTTACTCTGACTCGGTCTAACTTGCTTGGTAACAAGTTCTTAAGTACACATTTACTCAATCCAGATGATTAATCATGGAAAAGCCTTGCTTTCAAGTTCTTATGAATCCGAAAATTAGGTGATAGTCTTGGGTATTCCATTTTATTATTTTACTCCTCCATGAAGATGGCAACTCGGTGGGCGGTCATTGAGACCAGAATAATGACTTGCCTTCCCCTCAGCGGGAGAATGGGGAGGAAAGGGCATTCCAGAGGAGCTTTGCATCCATCCAGTGGGATCAGCAGCAAAGGAGCGTGTTCCCTCTGACTTGATTATTTCATGTGGAATGTGATAGACTGCCCAGATGTCAGAAGCACCAAGTGTTAAACCTTTAAACATAAAATAGCCAGAGGAAAAAATGAGTTGTGTTTAGATTTTGCTTTCCTATTTTATACTGCAGTAATATTTAAAACTGGGTTGTTCATGCGACCGTTGATGTCATTGTCCTTATAGCAGCCCCTTTTCTTACTCAGCTGGCTCTTCTCCCCACACTGCCCTTTTCTTGTATTATACGTCGTAGCGGCCCCTAGCTGCCCTCTGTGCCCCTCAGCCTGTCTCATGGAAACTGGGTTTTGGTGAGCACAGTCCAGTTGTCTGAGGCAGGAGCCTTTAGCTGCCAGCCAGACCTCTGCTGGAAGGAGTCTACCTTGGTACTGCTCATGTGGTTGTAGACTCAATAAGCCGCCATTTCATTGCTTTCCAAGTGGGAACTGTGTTTAGGCCTAAAAGGATCAAAAGCTCACTTTTAAGGTTATTTTCAGTTGGAGTTCTGGATTTGGTTTGAAGAGGTTGAATGTTTCTTTTAGTATTGCTCAGAGCAAGGCAACTCCTTTTTCTCCAGAGAACCCTTAACCATCACTGTCATAGCGAAGTCCCATAGGCTGTGCGTGACTGGGAAATGGTTTTGGCATTTGCAGAACAGACTCATCAGAGAGCTGCCGTTGAGCAGAATCAGATGCGGCCCCTTGCCCTTCTTTCCAGGGATGATGACATTGAAGTCATTGTGGATGAAACCTCTGATCACACCGAGGAGACCTCCCCGATGCGAGCCACCAGCAGAGCGGCCACGTAAGTGCATAGGTGTGGCCACGACAGGCGAGCACGGCTGTGGCCATGACAGAAGAAGGTTCCGATGCACCCAAGCCTCTGTGCTGGAACACCGGCCCCTCTTGCACAGCCACGGAGATCAGTGGGCTCCTGAATGTCCCTGTCTTGCACCCCTACTTCATGGGAGGCGAGCTGTTCCCTAGTGCTGCCACTGGCTGTGAAGGGAAATGGGAAAATGTATAGTGGCGTCCTAAAAGATGGACAGTTAAACCTTGTTAGGCAGGGTGATTTTAGATCAGACTGTTTAATTCTTACTTGGGCTCCAGGGTTTTTTTATTTACCAAAGCAAGACGAAAAGAATGGGTATTGGTTATTTAGAGCCAGAAATTGTTAGGTCAGTTAGACAGTGTCGTTGTTGAAAGCATTATTTGCAGGGAAGTTAATTTAATGCTTGGGAACCTTGTTTCTTTTAAAACTTTGAGACTAGATTTCCCTCCCACCTTTCCACTGTTGTCTGGTGGCTCATACTGTGATGGGTTTCCTGGCTGGGGTTTGGGGACTCAATGGGAAACATAATCCCGGGTACCCTGTTTTGTGGACTGTTTTTATTGATGATTTGGGCAAAATGTTTCTAAGGTTTAAACCTATCCTCCCCTCCTCTTTAGTAAGCGACTCTCGCAGCCTGCTGGAGGCCTTCTGGATTCTATCACTAATATCTTTGGGTAGGTTAGAAAACTTTCACCTTTCCTCGTTAATATATGTGTAAATATACCTAAGTACATGTACATGAATTTATTACCATTTTGTAAACGTACACCAGAATTTCAGTGGTGCAGAGTATACAGATGCCTTAATTTCAGCTTTTTCATTTCGCTTCTTCCTTTTCCCTTAATTTCCTTTCTTACCCTCGCTGCGTGCTGGTCTCTGGCCTTCCCCTTTAGTCTGTCCGAGTCTCCCCTTTTGGGACATCACTCTTCTTCTGATGCTGCCAGGTGAAAATATTATCCACTCTTGTCCCGGCATGTGAGTGTGGGTCATTGATAATCAAGCTGATCACTGCTTCACTGCCCTCGTCATCAAACGCCCATGTGCTAACTAGGCCGCTTTGCATGTGCCCAGGAATGCTGCTAGCCCTCCGAGGGGGGCGTTAGGTTGAGCTCTTCGTACCGCAATTACGCTCACCGCTCTTCCTTGGCATGCGTTCGATTCTGCCTTGACCACGGTGTGCGCTGAGGATGATTGTGACTAGGCATACAAGCATCTTAAATTGTTTATGAGAATACCATCAAGCTCCCTGCAAGCTTGCAGGGGCATCACATTGAGAAGGTTTTCCTGCAGTTTATGGACGGGGGAAGCAGTTGTTCAGGGTTGCTTTTCAGTGCTGAGTTCTGGAGTCCGTGGCTTAGCAAGCAGGAGAGGACGAGTATGTGCTGGCTGCCCTCCCAGTTGTTTGAGTGAGGATGCTTCTGATTTGGTGAATCATTCTCGAGTTTGAAGGGCCTAGAAGGGGAAAGAAGCCATTGATAAAAGATGTCTTTGAATCCTTTCTGGGTTTGATGGACAGTCCTGTCTAATGTTCTCCTGTATGTTACTTCTTAGGAGGCGCTCTGTCTCTTCCTTCCCAGTCCCCCAGGACAATGTGGATACTCACCCTGGTTCTAGTAAAGAAGTGAGGGTGCCAACAACTGCATTGTGTGTCTTCGTAAGTACGGCTTATCCCCAAACCTTCTCCCCCCGCACCACCACCAGGCTTCATATGGGAGCAGCCTGATAACTAAAGGGTCCTTTCTCCTGCTGCAGCGATATATATACATTACATTTTTTATATTTATATATATATATATATATCTGGCCTGGACACCTGTTGGCTCTGTCAGATGGGAGGGATTGACACAGTTTGCTTAGCGTCAGAGGACAGACTTTATTACATCATCCTCTGTAGTAGAGACTGGATGAGAGAGGATGGGTAGCATGGGGGGTGGGGTAGGGGGAAGACTGATTAGGATGCTGAGCAATGAGACAGTAATTCATGCAGTTGCTGCCACCAGTTGGCTCCAGTATAAGTGAGAGTCTAGTCAATGGTCTGTTTTGGAGGGTCAGTAGGGTAGCTGTTGGCTTCATGATTTATACCCATTTCTGTGTAACTTCTGACCACATGGTTGGAAGCAGGAGACAGTCCTGGGCAGAAGCCACTGTGATGCCAGGACTCTTGGCTGGAGTTCAGAGCTGGATTCCAGTTCGAAGGGATAATCTGGGTCCCTGCTGGAGTGATGGAGCGGGAACGGAACAAGCCTAGGGAAGTATAGGGTACCTGGCTAGGCCTGTCAGACGGAGGGGTGGAAAGGCAGAGCAGAAGCAGCAGAGCCCAGAGAGTTGGGCTGACACTTAGATTGTGTGGGATGAGTTAGAGGAGCCAGCTTTCAGGGGAGAGAAAGACTTGCTACAAATGGGATGGAATTTACATGGGGTAGCCTTCAGTTCCAGCCATAAGGAGGAACTTGAATAGTTATATATTTGCACACAATGATCTTTGGACATTGTAAAGAGAGTCCCACTCTGAATGAACTGGGGACCGTTCAAGCCCCTTCCGAGTCCCAGTCCTGTGATTCCCTGGCCAGCCTGGACACCGCACAGAGGTCAATGATGATTGGTGAAAGGTCTGATTGCACTTGATGTCACAGTCCCTTCGTTGCCCTCAACTCCCAGCAGCCCATTTTTTCCTCCTGTCACATTTAAGTCGTGTGTAGGATAACGGCGCTGCTGATAATTTGGGATTCTGTCAGTGTGTGTTTCTGAGAGTGGACGGTTCACAGCTGACAACTGTCCAACAGAACCAGCCATCAGGAGATGGATGAGCGGCAGCCATGGGTGTGATGGTGCGTGATCTCAAGTTTTCAATCTGAGACCTCTTTAGTAGGAAGATCCCACAGAAAAGGTAGAGGATTCCATGGAGCCAAAAAGTGTGGTCACCTGTCGTACAGCTTTCCAGCAGTGGGACACAGGAGGAGGCGTGGGAAATAGATCCCCCGGCACAGACAGTCAAGCGATGTTTCTGTTCCAGTCAGTGAACAGAGGCGTGCCCTCGGTACTCTTAAAGTATCTTCTTCCGCCCCAAGCACATGTGAGGCTCAGATTTTATCTTCTCAGAATGACCTTTCGGGCAATGGTTGATGACCTCTTTAATGATCTAATAATATTTACAATCCATGTTTTCCTTGGCCCTTTTTTTTAGCTGAGCCATCCTGCCACCTGTTGGCAACTCAGCGGCAGCTCAGCTCAGGCCGGGACGCGAACCATTGTTGCTCTGAGCTCACACTCTTGAGCAAGCTCTTCCTTTTTTTTTCTTATGGAACTTTTCCAACGTAGAAGTGGAGAGTAGAAGGAGCTGGGGAGCCGTCATCCCAGGAGGCAGCATCAGGCACATTTGCCAACCGTGTCACCTCTGCCCTGTGCACTGCTGGGAGCAGAATCCCAGACATCGTATTTCATCCATAACTATTTCAGTGTCTGGGCTTAAAGAGATGAGATTATAGTGACAATCTCTAGTATTCTCTCCTTGTTCCAGGATGGGATGCTCTTTACTCGCTTTGCCTTATCCTGAACACAAAGGCGGTCTTTTCAGCTCATGTGTTCCGGTTTGGATACCAGCCTCAGGAATTTCCCTATTAGAATTTAAATCCTCCCCCAAATAACAGCTGTTAACTTTTATTGACGTCTTCATGGTCAGGCACAGTCCTAGGTCACAAAACCTGTGGGAGTCCTTTTTTATGGACGGGGAAACAGGCTTTAGGAAGTTGAACTTGGCAGAGGTCACATCGCTAATCATGTTAGTGGCATACTGTTTCCAGAAAGAACTAATGGGTTCCCACTGTGACACTGATGTGGCGATAGGACCGCATAAAGTCCTCACATTAGGACTTTATGTGTGAGGAAAGCCATAAGCCTCCTTTATCACGAGAAGCCGTGCTATTAATGAATTAGATACATGATTTGATGAATGGCACTAATGCAGTCTGGACAAAAGAGCCCGTTAATCATAGGCTTCTTTTAAGTTGTTAAGATCATATAAGAATATAGGTTGAAATTTCTTATTCTTGGAAGAAGTAAAATTAATGCAAAGACAAACTTTAGGCCATTAGTTTACACAGACTTTGAATCCTTTTTAAGAAGATTGCACTGTATTGAAATAAGTAGAACTGTAACTATAAGACTAAAGTGATAAGAGCATCTAGGGGAGCCTGGGCTAGGAACCAAGTTAGCTTATGATGGGCTCCCGTGTCTTTAAGGATGAATGTTCAGCCTTTGGTTTGGCATCCACTGGGCTTACTGGTATTGGGCTCTTTCTTGGGAGTGACAGTGATTGGGTCTGAAATGCGGCTTGTCTTGCAGGATGCCCACGACGGGGAGGTCAACGCCGTGCAGTTCAGTCCAGGTTCCCGGCTCCTGGCCACCGGGGGCATGGATCGGAGGGTGAAGCTTTGGGAAGTGTTTGGAGGTGAGAGCTCACTGGGGTGGACAGGAGGAAGCTGTGTCATGTACAGAACCTGACCGGAGCATGAGTAACCTTCTCAGTCACACTTTACAGCTGAGGGCTGTTTGCTCTGAATTTCCAAGTAGACTAGGAAATACTGTTGAGTTATGGACATGTTTGTGTTAGTGTTTTTCAAATACACACTAGTTGGACCATCTTCCTAGATAGCACAGGTTTTAGAAGGAAAATTAAAAATCCAACAGTTGTAGATTCTAATTAAACTACAGAGCCAACTGTGGTTTATGCATTTAATAATGTCGGTGGCCAGAGCCTAAAAGAAAACATATTTAATAGCTTATCAGACAAAGGCTCTAAAGTCAAGACTGAGTCTTTGATTAGCCCTTGTTTCAGAAATGACCTCGGAGCACTCGGAAACGGGATGGCATTGAAACCAGAAATGGGAGTGAGTGAAACCATCTCTTAGAATTCTGAAGCTGGCCCATAGCCCAATGAAACATTTGGAGAGTCAGTTAAATATACATATACGTTTAATGAAGCAAAGCCAAAGAATAGACTGAAGATTTTTAGAGGAACCACTTTGTCAAGTTTCCATAGTTACAGCATATACATGTTCACTGTCCAGCAATAAATAGTCCCCTCTGATCCTCACGGGATCCTGTGCAGTTAGAAGGGTGGGTATTGCTCATATTTGAAAACTTGAGACACTACTAGATTTGCCTGGTTGATTCACACAGCGAGTAGATAGGAGGCTACGTCGGAAGGGAGCAGTGGGGCCTCGGAGCTGAGCTCGGTCTCCTGGCTGCACAAGCCTTGCTCCTGGCACTCCAGCCCCTCTAAGAGAGCTGCTGAAGAGGCCCCTGGTTACTGCTTTGGGTGTGTTTAGAGCAAGAGCAATGTATTGATCCCTTTTGTTAGAACAGATGATCAGTACAGCACCACACTTGTCTGCTGACCTTTGATTTTCAGAAAGGTGGCTCACTAGTTAAGTCCCTGGCAATTACAGCTAATTGAAGCCCAGTAGAATCTGTGCTGTTTTACCCAGAAACACCTATGAGTGATACTTGCTGAAACCGTTATAAAATAATAATAAAACTATAGCATAAGAATAGACATTTTATGAGATTTGGATTTTAAAAATCTAAGATAATCTGATTTGATTAAGCCTTGGGACAAAATAGAAATAACACTAGAAATATTTCTGTTTTACTCCTTGGTCAGTAAAAGCACCTTTAAAAAATTAGAGACACCAACCTTTAGTAACAGTGTTACCTTTTGCTGCTAAAGAGGAGGTAAACACTAATCAAAATTAATATTGACATAATATGTGCCAGAGCATAATTTGGGTTAATAAAATGAGATCTTTCTACTGGGTCTTCAGAAATAACACAGAATTTTGGGCAGCATTTTTTATAGTTTTCAGAAACACACCAGTCATGTCCTAATTATAGGGCCTTTCTTCCACAAACAGCTTATTCAGTCCATAGTTTTGTTCACTTTGGCTAATATTTGCTGAATCTTGGAAGGGACCAAGTCCAAGAGTCCGTTTATGAAATAGTCTGGGTGCCCTGATTTTTACCCTTTTAAAATATCAGAATAATGGCACTTTGTACCCAGTAGGAACACCTGTCTCTGCTCAGTCTCTCAAGAGCAGAAGCTCAATTGGGAATTACTTACAGAGTTGCTTTCTAGATAAAAGAACTTTAACAAGGTGTTTGTGATTTTGTGTAGAATAACATTTTATTGATCATTTCTTATATTTGGCCAAACAGACCAATATTTTGGGCAGAAGCCAAAGCGATATTTCTTAGAATTTGCAGTAATATGTTTTGTCTTTAAAGGTCTAATTTAAATAAAGGCCTTAATTAGTGGATGTTGGCCTTTTTTGACTCTTGAAAAATCTAATGAAAGCTAGGATCCAGGAAGAAGCATTAAATATGCTATATTTTGCAAATAAATTCAGAGGCACCATTCATCAGCCAGGTTAATTAATAATGCTGGCCCTAAATGTATGATAGCTCCCAACCAGTATTCATATCCTCATTACTATGGAGAAGTACTGAGTGAGAGATAAGGCTATTCATTGAGGTGTTTCCTATTCTGTGTTCCCCTTTTATGAATTTGATTAGAGTGGCTCCATAGTTGTTTTCCTAGCATGTCTATATAAGCCACCCTTTAAAAAGGGAACTGAATCACATTACCATCGAGACTTACACTCCTACAAGCTTGCACCTGCATCAATGAAATTTCCTTATGGGGGCCAGTGCTGTCTAAGAGCGGGGCCCGGGAGGCTGTGGCTGGGTCTGTTGGATGGACGGAGGGAACACTGCCAGTGAGTTGGATTGCCAGTCTCAGGGTTCATGGACACAGAGTTAGTGTAAGGACAAATTCCAGAAACTCCAAACTAGCACAACTGGCATTCGAATGACTAGGCAGTTACACATAACTTAAAATTCTTTGCAGACCTTAATGAAAATTATCACACCTGGATTCTGAAAATTTGATTGTTCATTTCTACAAAAGTGTTAGTTGACACAAGTACTGATCAGACCCAAAGATGTATTTATGTAAACTAGAAAATTTTACTGAGAAATAGCAGAAGTGAATTAAACATGGTCTGTAAGTTGATGTGACATGTTTTTAAAATTCCTGCACTTATTTCTTTGTAAAGGGAATGGGTGACACTAAATTTCTTTAAAAGAACAGCTTAACACACAGGCAAGATGCTATGCTCTGCGTCCGCTTATACATTCATCACTCTGAGAAACTGACAGTATGCGGTGTGATCACAAAAGACGGTAAATGTTTAAATTTTTAAAAATTACAGTAAAAGACACATTGACATTAATCCTCCTCAAAATACCCCCCTCGCTTCAAACACACTCATCCCATCGTTCTTGCCACTTTCTGAAGCAGTTCTGAAAGTCCTCTTTTGTGAGTGTCTTTAGTTGCACTGTTGTGGCTGCCTCAGTGTCCTGAATCATTTTGACTTTGGGTAGGAGCCATATCTAGTGAATAAGGTGGATGAGGACACACCGTAATGTTTGGGGTTTTTTTTTAGATTTTTATTGGGGAATTGGGGGATGGGAACAGCACTGGGGAATTGGGGGAAGGGGAACAGACAAGTTGCTGTCGTTTTGTTCTTCATTCTAGTTGTGGAGGACGTTGCTTCACTGGCCCAAGTTGGCACCGTCATTGCGTTCTTCCTCGGTGAGGCAGATCAGTCGCCGGCTTCTGGACGGCCGCTCACGCTGGCTGCTGGCCGCTCACGCTGGCTGCTGGCTACACATGGTAGCCCATGGCAACCCACTGCAGCAGGAGCTGCAGCCTACACCGTCGGAGGGACTCATGGCAGCCCAGCTCCAGGTTGAGCTGTTGTTCATCATCTTAGCTGTAGAGGGCAATGTCACTGGCCCCCATATGTGGGATCCGAACCGGGGCCCTCTCCTCTGGTGTCCCAAGCCAGCTCTTAACCAACGCGCCACTCGGCCGGCCCCGTAATGTTTTTATTTGACAGAAATTGCCATACCAGAAGCGATGTGTGACACGGAGCGTTGTTATGATGGAGGATGATTTATGGCACACTTGAAAACACACTTCTCAACCGTAGCTCACAACTGGTTGACTGCACCAAACAAGTTGATACTTGTCACACACTATTACTAAGGTTCAGTGTGCTGCTTCCCGTATTGAAGATCCCTGCCTTTCCGATGGATGGCACTTGGCAGTAGCATTCACCATATTTTGTGGTCACAACAGAAAGGCTCCATGTCACACATCGCTTTTAGTATAGTGATCTCTGTCAAATAGAAACATTACGGTATGTCCTCATCCACTTTATTCACCGGATCTGGCACCATTTGACTTCTGGCTCTTCCCTTAGGTCAAAATAACCCATGAAAGGTAAACATTTTGAATCAATTCAGGACATCCCTGAGGCAGCCACAACAGCGCAACTAACGACACTCAACGAAAGAGGACTTCCAGAACTGTTTCAGAAAGTGGCAAGAACGATGGGATGAGTGTGTTTGAAGCGAGGGGGAGTATTTTAAGGGGGATTAATGGCAATGTGTCTTTTACTGTAATAAAATTCTTTTATTTAAATATTCACTGTATTGTTTTGATCACACCCCGTCATATATTTTGGCCCCACATTTTGTTTGTTTTGCTAGTTGATTCTATGATGATTCAGGGACGCTCCTGTTTCGACAATGTAATTGGCTTCTGTTGTGTTTCAGGTGCCCTATTTTAACTTACGTTTTGGCCTTACCTTCTTGTCAATCTTTCTTTTTATCCAGACAAATGTGAGTTCAAGGGTTCCCTCTCCGGCAGTAATGCAGGAATTACAAGCATTGAATTTGACAGTGCTGTAAGTATCTAATACCCAGGGAAATAGGTGAGTTTTAAGGTTTTTAGAAACAATTTAAGACATCTGGTTCTTGAAATTTAAAAAGAATTTATCTGGTTTCTCTGCTATTCTCTATCTTAAGTAAAATCAATGTTAGAGAAGGATGCAGGTAGATAACAAATTCTGCGCTGCTTGTGACGGAGCTGAAGACTGCCAGCTGGGCCATGTCTCTGCAGACTTGATTAGGGCCCCAGTTTGGGCTGAGGTGACGTGGCAGAGATAAGTGGGTCTCCCAGGGGGCACTTGGGTGGGAGATGAGGCGAGGGGAGAGTCGATTCCTCTGGGCTCTGGCTTGGACAGTGTGTAGAGAATTAGCATGTGCTGTGACTGAAGGCAGGTGGCAGGGGATGTGAACGTGGGACGTTGGGTTCCATTTTGAGCTGGAGGGCCTGCAACATTCTAAGGAGAAATGTCTGAACTTAGAGGGATGGGTGAGTTGACAGAACACTGGAGATAATGATATTCGGTCAAGTGTGTAGTTTTAGACATCTAGACCGTCTTGGACGTTATTGAGGAGTTTGTATTGTGTGAACTGATGGTTTTTTTTACGGCTGAAATTTGTTTTTCTTCCCTTTATTCCTACAGGGATCTTACCTCTTAGCAGCTTCAAATGATTTTGCAAGCCGAATCTGGACGGTGGATGATTATCGGTTACGGGTAAGACCTAGTTAAGAAAAGTAGTATAATCTCCAAACTTCATGTGGTTATCAGAGCACAAAATGTAGGCAATGGCGGATCAGTGTATTTAGGAGAATTGTGTGTATTTTCCTAAAATCATACTTGATTTCCCTGCTCTTTCTTTTCCACCTTGAGAAAATTTGTTTTTCCACTTTATATCTCATTTTGTCTAAGATTCAATTTCAAAATATTTGCAATAGGAAACCTTCACATTTCCATGAAAGACTTGAGATGCTCTTGTTGATAAGAACTAGATACTTTCAGTAGATGCCCGTTTTAGCTTAACTTTAGCGGTCTTAGTGCCAGGATATAAATTGCGCTCATTTTGGGCTCCAAGACTTGATGATTACCTCACAGAGTATAACTGGAAAGTGGGTAAAGACGTACTTACAGATGTGCTTATGATAGAGATAAAACACCTGAAACAACTAAAGCTTGTGTGGGACTCTGCATCTGGACCCAAACTTACCAAGAAGTCTCTTGGATTCCAAGACAAACACCAAAACTTGAGGGTTATAGCACCTTTGTTCTAAAAGAAAAACATACAGCTTAATTTGGAGACAGGTTTTTCTCCTTAAGCTTGAAGGCGTCTTCCCATGAGCTCATTAAATAAAGGCTACTGAATGATAAACTAGAAGATGAACTTGACATTCATAGGCATTTTACCAAAAAACTTTGACACCAGCTCTCGTATGGGAACCCACAGGGCAAACGGGGCATAACGTTCAAGTGGAGTTCTTACAGAGAGCTCCGGGGAGCGGGAGCTGCACTGCAGTGTCCCCGGGTGGCTCTCGGTGGTCGGGTCGATGCAGCAATGCAGCCACACGTGGAGCTCATCGCCTGGGCCTTCCGCTCTCTTGAGCTGCATGGAAAGTGACCAGCTGGACCAAAGGGAGGGTGGCCCTTCTTTATTCTGGGTAGAAAGAAGATCCAGGGCTCCACATACGACGTGTGAGACCTGAAGGTGACAAAGGCGACGTTCTCCTGTGAAACCTGCAGAGCCAGCCTGTGTTGTCGTGTGCATGAGTGAGCGGGCATGGCTGGTCTCTTTCCTCAGGAAACAGTTCACGGCTGTTCAAATGCTTGAGCGAGTCTGCAGTTGAAGTCCTGTAGTCCTGTGCCCTAAGCAGGGAAAAGATGGCCTCGCCTGTTGTCATGGCGGCTGAGAAGTCCATCCTGTGGTGTGCCGTACTCTGTGTGACCATCTGTCACGTACTGGACATTTAGGATGGAGTTGAATGTTTCTGTAGCTGTTAATTTCCTTCAAGGAACAGAGTCTTTTCGTGAGTGGCTTCTGTGTGTTAACCCAGTTCTGACGTGTTATGTACGTACCACTTTCAGTCCTCGGGTAACTGGGTGAGGCAGGGAGATGAGGGAACTGAGGCCCAGAGAAGCCCCCACCCTCCCCCCGCCCCCAATTGCTGAGGTCATGCAGTTCAAAAAACGGTGAGAATGGGGATTGAGGCCTGTGCCTTTCCTGTGTTGGGTTGGCCTGGATTGTTCGAGACTGAGGACAGCAGAACTGTTTCCTAGTGAGAGGGACTTAGAGCCTTCCTGACGTGTTAGGCCCTCGGAGGAGAAAAGCCAGCCGCTGAGGAGTCAGCCAGTGCAGGCTAGTATTTATCATTGGTAGAGCTCCGAGTTCTGTACAGGCGGCCATCAGCCTTTGGGTCAGACATAACAAGAGGGTCTGGGGGCGGATAGATCTGGAAGACAGAGGTCATGCTGCTGGGAAACTTTTCAGGTGAGCTCGTTTGCACAGGTGGGCTGAGTTTTGCTAGCGAGGGTGCTGTCAGGGCACTCAAGCACCAGGCTCGAGCTGTGGGTGCTGACGAGTTGGGGGCTGCTGCCAGGCCGGAGGCTCCTTTGCTTGACCAGCTGGACTAGGTGCGAGCACCTCTGCTCACAGCCACATCCTGCCCCTAGGTAAACGTGTGACGAGATCAGGAGGCCCTTTTAAACAGCTTCTCCGTACTCAGAGAACCCACGAGAAACTTTCCAGGGTCCAGAAAGTAGGTGGGGTGGTGGCTTCCACTTAGACCCTAGTTGAAAGTGGCTGTTGGAGGACATGAATGGACATCCACATTCCCAAACTCAGGTTCCAAGCCCTGTTTGGTATCTGTGTAGCTTTTACAATGAGGGAACAGTGTTGGGAGAGACGGGGTGCATGGAGCAGCTGGTAGCATGCTTGCTTTAAAAATCCTGTTAGGGAAGGTATCCTAGAAACAGCTTGCCATTGAAAGTGGCCTGTGACAGGGCGCCTTTCAAAACCAGGTGTTTTCAGCTCCTTAGAAATCTACAAGGTCAGTGCAGAATGGCCTGGCTGCTCTCTAAGATGTGACTTGAGGAACTAGGCTAAAGAACCCACCCTGCTCACTTCTCTAACAGGGACGTGGAGAAGTGGCCACAGGGACGAGTGGCTTTCAGGGGATGGTTTTTATTTCAGAAACTTCCTCATTCTGTTCTTCATTTTCTGGGGTCCGTTGTCTTTGGTTGGTGTTACCGGTAGCTGCCTGCATGGTGGGCGGCCCTCGGCGTCTGCCCTGTGCCACAGGGGAACCTGTGCAGGGCCCTAAAGAAGAACTCTGAGCCTCCCTCCCCATTTGGGGCTCTGGCTGCTGTGACATCTGCACCCACTGCCTCGTCTCTTGTGAGTCCCTGTTTAAAAGAGGAAAATAAAACCTAACACTAATGGGCCAGCCGAGTGGCTCAGTTGGCTAAGAGCTCGCTCAAGAGTTTGAGCTCTGAGCAACAGCGGTTCTATTCCCAGCCCGAGTTGAGCTGCTGCTGAGCTGCCAACAGGTGGCAGGATGGCTCAGCTAAAATAAAACAAAACAAAAACCCTAACAGTGTTAGAATTAAATCTTAAAGATAAATATCAAAAACACTGAATGGAGAAAAGAACTTTAAATAAATCCAATCCACTTAAAATCCGGACTTTTTAAATGATAAAAATGATTCAGTGCTTGTAGGAGGCTCAGTTCTATACCATGAGGGTGTGGAGATGGATGTAGTCGGCCTCAGGCAGCTCCCGCTGGTTTCCACCGGGAACAAGATGAGCAGAAGTCCGTACTTTTAAAAAAGTAAGCTAATAGTACTTAGGAAAAGCCAAGAAATGAAACTTCCCTTTTCTTTATTCCGTTAGTCCAACAGTTTCATCCCAGGAAATAAGAGGAAGCTGTATGTTCATACGTGTTCATTACACCATCATTCATTTGTGATCGTGAAACGTAAAGTGCCCGAAGTGTCCGCTGGCCTCAGAAATTTCAATTAAATTGTGATCTCACCACTTGAGGATTATTTAGCTATTAAAGATTGAGGAAGACTCTAAAGAGTGGCAGTGCAAAAAGGAAGAGAATGCTATCAACCGTGGGCCTTGTTTGGTTTTCCTAGTAAATCAGCGTGAGGAAGAGATGAAGCTCTCACAGATATTAGAGACTCAAATCAGTGTTCAGAGCCAGATCAATGTGACAGCCCCCCAGCCATCACGTGAAACACTGCTTATACTATAATGTTAAAGAGCAATAGCTACCTTTCTAGGAATACTTTCACATGAAATACATGAAACTATAATGTGTGCATTTAGAGTCTTTTACGGACTCTAAATGAGTGTGTTCACATAGCCCATTTCTGAGCAAAGTCCCTGCCTCCCTATGTTTGTGAAATGTGATTTTTTACTTTTGTAGTGAAAAAGAAAACAGTGCATGTACACAGAACTTGCATTTTTTGATGAAGTAGTCCTTCACTAAGAACTTAATTTACATGGCGGGAGAAGCACCTACCAGATTTTCTGTCTCCCCATGATTTGTAGACTGGCTGAGTCCCGCCGAGTGGAGCCTTGATTCCTGTACTGTATTTAATGTAAGCCTTGTTGCTGGCGCTTTCTTGCTCTTACCAGCAGGACCAGGGGGAGGCTTTTACAGGCTGCAGCACACCTGCTTCTGGCTGGCAGCACGTGTACGACGCGGTCCCGGTTCCAGAGAGGTTTTAATGTGGGAGGGGTGAGTTTTAGAATCCGTGCAAACCTCTCCTTAGAAAGGGAGAAGTACATAAGGCCGCACGTTTTCTGTTCCATCTTAAAGTGGAGTTGCTGTTCTGCGCATAGAGAACAGAGTGGATTCTAAAATGTTAACACTGAAAACCCAGCACTAAACTCTGAGGCCTCGTCTTTGAGAGTGGGGTTGGAACCCATGAGTTAACCAGGGTAATAGGTATACCAGGGTCTTTTAAAAGGCTTTTTTCTTTTTTAATTGGGAAGAAAACATCAGTGACTACCTTCTGAGCCTTGGAGGCTTTGCACATATGAAAGAGGTCAATGATGAATAGTAAAAGGGCTGACTGCCCCGGTCCCCTCCCAGCATCCTCACCATCCCCAGCTGCCTCACTCCCATCAGGCTCCAGCAGTGCTGTGATGGGCCAAAGGGCAGCTGACACTCCGGGATGTCCCAGGTCTGTGTTCCTTGGCGAGCCCAGGGAGGACGTGCGGTTGGCATCCTACAGTCCATCCTGAAGGGATTTGCTGGGAGTGCTGGAACCCGCGGCTGTGATCTGACTTTCAAGCTGAGACCTCTGATTGGAAAACCCCCAGGGGGTTTAATTGTTTATTTAGAGAGACCTGATGTTTTCTTCCGTAAATTATGCCTGCAGTGAACGTGTCTATTCTGACTTTAAATAGGGAACTGATTTTCAGAGGCACTGGGTAAGACCCAGGCTTTAAAAATTTTGTAATTCGATATAATCCAGACTTACAAAAAAGGTGCAAGAACAGTACGCAAAGGTGTCTGTAATGGAGCCTATTTCAAAAAAGTTCTCTGACTGTCTCTCCCCCTTTTTTTTCTTTTTTTTTTTTTGAGGACGGGCCATTGGAGTTTGTACTAGTGATGTCGGGTTGTTGTTTTTTAATGTTGTTTGTGGTGGGAGCTGTCTCCTCTTCCTCTTTGTACCTCACCCCTGGGCAACACCCATTGGTGGGCTTTCTGGGGCTGTGTGGAGAAGCCGGTGCCCTGGCACTGTGACTGCTGCTGGCTCTCCCGGCACGGCCCCCCCAGGCTGACCGTGGCTGTTTTCTCTCCTAGCACACACTCACGGGACACAGTGGCAAAGTGCTGTCTGCCAAGTTCCTGCTGGACAACGCGCGTATCGTCTCTGGAAGTCACGACCGAACCCTCAAACTCTGGGATCTGCGCAGCAAAGTCTGTGAGGAAATTTAGTCTCTGTGTCTATATGTGCAATTGGATGTTAACTGCAGAGGCATTCGTTCCCACGTCAAAGCCTGCATTTAGTACGATGCAGTTTGAATTTCAAGTCCAGTTTCCTATTCAGAGTGGCATTGGGGTGGTGGCAGTTTTTCGTGTTTGAGGCTTCATTTAAATGGGTAGTTCTGATGATTCAGGGTCGGAGGGCAGCAGTGTTTGTGGGCAGCCATGGAGGGGCCTCTGCTTGATTACTGATGTTCGGTTTTCTTTCAGGCATAAAGACAGTGTTTGCGGGGTCCAGCTGTAATGATATTGTCTGCACAGAGCAGTGTGTAATGAGTGGACATTTTGACAAGAAAATTCGTTTCTGGGACATCCGGTATGAAACGCAAGAGCGTGGTGGGGAGGCAGATGAGAGGGTCTGTGTGGTCGAGCTGGGATGATTCGTACGTGGGTTGTATTGTTAAATTGCCCGGAAATGGTGGGAGTGAGCTCCAGACCACGTTTATTTTAAGTTGGATTTTCTTTACCATGAAGTAGATGATTGTGTTCAACGATCATTTACGAGCATGCACTGCGTACTTATCGAGGTGCTTTACTAGCTGCTAGATAAACCAAGATGTATATCGGTGAGGTAGGGGGTAGTTCCGATGTGATCGGTAGGACAGACACACAGGCCTGCACAGTGCGCTGAAGCGAGCCAGGCACCTTTGTCCCAAGACAGAGAGAATGCCTTGAGACTCCTCTCGAGAGGTGAGCAGGCCTCACGCTGCAGAAAAGCCCCTGGAAGGCGCTCCAGAGCACAGCAGCCGGACAGCAAGGCGGGGCGGGGCGCGGAAGGAAGGAGACTAACAGGGTGGGTTGGCATCAGAGTGCTTCAGGCTTCATGCTGTTTGTTAGAAGCTGTCGGGTGTTCAGCGAAGGATTGCTGCACGAGAGTTGAGCGTGTTACGTTGGTGGCATTTTTAGAGGGTGTATTGGGGAGCAGGGAATCAGTAAAGCGTGATGAGGATCTGAACTCAAAGCTGGAGAGGGAGGTGTGGAGGGGGGAACGATTTGAGGGAGAGTTCCGACAGGACTTGTTGACAAGTTGGATGTGGAGGGTGAGAAAGGGGAGAATTAAAGCAAGACGAAGAATAAATGACAGCTTTAGGAAGAGGGTCCAGAGAACGTTCAGATAAGGGCCTTAGTTTGTGGTTTGTAGTAGACATTTGGAGAAACAGGAGCAGAATTTTTGAGAGCCGCCCGAAGTCCCCAAAGAGGGCTTCGAAGGTGTGAGAATGGGTTACTCAAAGACAGCACACAAAGCGATACGAAGCCTGCATTTAGGGCGCTGCCTCAGGAGGCGTGGCCAGAAGTGGTCGGAAAGCTGGAGTCCTGTTGGTGGGCCAGGCGGAGGGGAGGAGGCCAGTGGGGTGCTTTGCTAGGAGGTAGTTGGTGATTGAGCGGATGGAGGACAGCTGGGGCAGAGCGGGGCGCGAAGGGCCTCTGCTGCGCTTCCAGATGACGCTCCGAAAGGCCTGGTGTGGCGCGCGTGGCTCCTAGACACCGCCTTTGGTTAGCTTTTTTCAACCCTGAAATTTGAACCTGAAACATGGAATTCAAGATTTAAACTGGATGGTCAAGGTTTCCTGGTCCACGCCTTAATTTGACAGATGAAGACCCCCAAGTCCCAAGGCAGCAGAGTGGCTTGCCTCCAGCCACATATTTAAAAACACTAAGATGAACTCTTACTTAGGTATGGTTTGAGGTAGGAAATCATTTCCTTGCAAGCTTACAACAGAATGACTACAGAAGGGTTCGCACCTCCTTGGGCCGTAACCCCAACAGGTCCCTGCCCAGAATCTCTATTCACAGACCTGGGTGTGAACTGGGGCCCAGAAAGAACTGTGAGGCTAAAGGGAAGAAGAGGGCCTTGCGAAGTGTGACTGCCCTGGAGTTCCCAGTGTGACATCTGGCGTCACCGAGGGAGCTGTGGATGGCAGGGAGCCTGTGAGAAGCCACACGTTTGTCCATATAAGGCAGCCCAGACCCACTGAAGCAAGTTCACGTGTCTTTGGATGAGTCGAAATGATATAATTGAAATAATACTAATTGGATAGTAGCCCTGGTTAGCACATGCTGATCAGAATCTCTGATTGGCAGTTACTGTATTATTCCAGAAATGGGCAAGGGAAAGAATTCTTACCAAACTCAAAGCTATTACCATAGAGTCTGTTGATGGGAAAATAAAAAAAGCAGTCACGGGGTGCTTTTCTAAGGTTGAGACATGTTCGCTGCCCTTGGGGCGTGTTGCATTCGGGTAGAATTGCCTTGGCGCCCCTTCTCCATGCAGCACAGCCTGGTTAGAATGGCGAGTTCTGCCATTTCTCTGTGGTGTTTTCTCAGATGTCCCATTGTGTTCGTAGGTCAGAGACTATCATCCGAGAGATGGAGCTGCTGGGAAGGATTACTGCCCTGGACTTAAACCCAGAAAGAACTGAACTCCTAAGCTGCTCCCGTGATGACCTGCTAAAAATTATTGATCTCCGAAAGAATGCTGTCAGACAGACGTTTAGGTAACTGAAGACACGCCGGGTTGGGTTCCCTTTGAGTTGCTGGTTTTCTGAGGCTTGCATGAAGCCCCGAGGCCCCGAGCCCGCTCTCCGCTCCGCAGTGCCGCGAGCCCTCGGGGTGACCGTGACCTGTTGTTTGTTTCAGCGCGCCTGGGTTCAAGTGCGGCTCCGACTGGACGAGAGTCGTGTTCAGGTTAGTGGTGAGGCTCCTTCTGCCCGTCTTACCCGCCGTTGGTCCACCTCACAGGTTAGAACATGGGCCTTTTCCCATTGCAGAAACCAGTGTCTCAGCCTGAGTGTCCAGGAGTGAGCCTGGAGGTCCCTGTCACTGTCGCCTGCCTTCCTAGTGTTGCTTTGTGATCACAGGAGAATAAGTGTGTTGTACTAAAATATGATGGTTGGCTAGTCAGTTTGTTCTGGGCACAGCCAGTTCCCCTGTCTTTCCTGCATTTACACAGAACCCTTTGAGAGCCGTTAGGGAAGGGGACCGTTGCACCTTGGGACAGAGCTGGGTGGGCTCTCAGGAGAAGGGCAGCTTTCCTTTCCTGGCTCTCCCTGCTTCCGTGCGTGGTGCTTCTCCCAGGTGCACTGCCATGGTCAGTTCCCGGACTGTGAAGAAGCCCCTCAGCTGACGCTTCCTTCTTTCTTTCCTTTCCTGCTGTCACTGAACCGTGTAACCAGGCGGCCCATCAGCTGCAAGAAACCCTTCGCCATTTGGGGGTTGACTTGATCACCCTGTGTGCTGTGTTTGAGTCAGAGATAGTTAGGGACTTGCGGACCCAAGAAGTACCATGGTGGCACCGTTCTTCAGTGGGTGTGAGGCCAAGATGACAGGGTGAAGCAGCTTTGGTCGGAACAGTGAAGGGCACGCTCTGATTTCTGGGTCCAGGAACGGTCATGCGTTTGACTCAAAAGAAGCGTGAACGTGACTTGAGAAGAGGCAGGGACCCTGAATTTGGGTGGGCAATTGACACCTTGTCTTGTCTTCTGTGTCCTCCAGCCCTGACGGCAGTTACGTGGCAGCAGGCTCGGCCGAGGGCTCTCTCTATGTCTGGAGTGTGCTCTCGGGGAAAGTGGAGAAGGTCCTTTCAAAGCAGCACAGGTAAGATGAACCCTGCGACCCCCTCTGAGGCGAGCGGGTCCCGTGACTTCATCCCAGGGGCCGTGTCCTCTTCAGGCGTGGACCTGAGTCAGCCCCACGAGGGCAGTGTCCACTCAGGGGCTCGGCTGTGAGCTGGGTTAGTGGGAGAAGCCAGAGCCGTTCCCGCAGAACAGCAGACAAGTGTTCTGCTGCTTTATGTCACAGGATATCCCCGTCAGAGCAATTAGAGCAGTGGCGGCTGGAGGAAAAGGTTATAGCAGTGTTGTCTCTTACTTCCCCCTGACTTCTCGTTTTCTTAGCTTTGTTTCGTCACCCAGGCCCAACTGTTAGACTGCGGAACTGGGTCCCTCCAAACCCCCTCTGTCTGGCCTCGAGCAGTGAGGGGTCCTGTCTGTGGTCCTCAGGTGCTTGTCAGAGGCCCGTGATGTCACTCACTGTCTTCATTCACTCAGAGCTATTCCTTAGGGCCAACTTGAGAAGGCGGACTGCTTTCATCCCCACACCACTTCCTAAACTCGAGTGCGGGTTCCTCTGAGTGCCTTTGCTCTGCTGAAGTGTTGTGTGGGAGTGGGTGTGGCACTGGCGGGTAGCATGGGCCACGAGCGGCCAGAGCCAGGACTGCCTGAATGCGAGGGAGCCTGGTGTGGGCTTCACTGGGGTCTCACGGGTGTTCCGACTTCTCCCTTTGAAGCTCGTCTATCAATGCGGTGGCGTGGTCCCCCTCCGGATCCCACGTGGTCAGCGTGGACAAAGGAAGCAAAGCTGTGCTGTGGTCAGAGTATTGATGGCACCTCCTCGGGAGAGCAGACCCGAAGCTGGAGAAGCACACGGCCCGCAGCTCTGGCGGCAGGAGGTGCGTTCACCGCAGCTTTGACCTCCAGAGGACAGCACGAGCCCCGTCACAGCGGCCTTCCTTTGAACGGGATTTCTGAGGCTGTGGGCCGAGGTCCCTCGTGACCTGGTAACACTGAACAAGACCTGACACTGCGGTCCCTTCGCCGAGGCTCAGCTTCGTGCCTCCGTGCGGCTGGGAAACACTACTGGCTCTGGTCTTCCATACCTCAGGGGGGAGCACAGGCACCGCAGGTCTCCTCGCTGGACGGCTGTGCCAAAAACACCCCCACCTGGGGGGCGGGGTCCCCCTGTGCTTCTCCCGTCCTTCCAAAGTCAGTTCTGGCCTAATGCATGTCCTGTCACCGCGGGGTCATTCTCCCGGTGAACTTGCTTTAATCATTGGAGTCACAGAAACCCAAACAGGATTACCCCTGTCCTCAGTTGGCCCATGGAGACCACCCTGGTTTCCAAGGAGACACGGGGCTGTGGTCCTCCCTGCTGCTTTGTGTCATTACGAGGCTCTTACTTGGATCTCATCTGATTATGGTTGGAATTTTCTTAGATCTCCTAAACTGTTCTTGGAAAGCAACTATTCTTCAAAGCTTCTGATTCACGTATCTATTTCTTGGTTGAGAAATAAATCAATTTGGTTAAAAAATATTTTTTTGAAACAAAGTGCAAAAAACCTTTTTCCAGAGAAGTGGGTGTGCTGCAGGAGAGTAAAGGGGGTGTCCCTGTCTCCATCTGTCAGTTCCCAGAAAGCAGGCGCACACCACGTTCCTTCCGGGTGTGCCCAGGTGACAGTGTGGTGACGGGACTGGCGGGCCGGGAGGCATTATTTTGGAGCCAGCAGCTCCACGTCCCGCCCTTTGCCAGGCCCCCATGTAGTACCCGCCCGGTGCTTCCACACAGGGAGCCCGTTCCAGGAGGCTGGGAATGTCACCTTTTTGATCTCAGGAGCTGTGATTAGGGCAGGGAAAGATTGGCCTGTGGCATTTAAAAAAAAAAAATCTGTCTTTCCCATTTTACCTGTGTATAAAATTTTAGTTCCTCAAGTGACTGAAACACCGATACTTCTGTCACTTTTTAATTTGCACTTTACTTGTTTCCTTCCATACTTGCCCTCTGGACAGCTGTGGATGTGAGTGTTGGAGCGGGTGGGGGTGAGGTACCTGTCCTCTGTTGGGGGTCCTCCTTTCTTTCTCTCACCCCGCCCTCATCTCCCCTTTTCTGTTTGACTTTCAGAGAACTCAAGGGGAGTGGAAATTCACAGGCCAGGGCACATCTTTTATTTATTTAATTGTGTTGCCCAACAGAACTTGATGTAAATAAAAAAGAAATGTTATATACTTTTCAAACTCCGTGTCTCTTGGTGGTTCTTTTATTCTCCTTTATCCTCAAGGGGGGAAAAATCTATTTCTTTCATTACTTTACTGGCATTTGCTCATTTGTAAATAATGGCTAATAGCTTCCTGGTCTCTCTTCTTGTTCATTTGAGCCCAGGTTATCACTACCTGTAAACGTCAACATTCCAGTTTCCCATGTTTGCAGATGTCAACTGAAACGGGGAAAGGGTCTCTTCAGAACTTGGGCAGCTATAACCTGAGTTCAGCACGCTGTTATTCTTGCTGCAGGTACAGGGCAGCACTGATAATGAACTGTATGTGTCTCCTCCTGGCCTCCCGGCATCCTCTGCTGAATGGCACCTCACGGAGCAGTGATTTATCCATGGCAGCTCAGGTATCTAGCAGGCAGCCTTGTGCCTTTAACAAATTAGGATCTCCCGGAATCCCCCGAAAGACCTGGTCCATCCTACACCGTGTTTACTGAGGGGTTGGCTGAACGTCTGCTCAGCCCAGCAGCTTGAGTCGACTCCACTGGGACCTGGAATCTCAGGCAGTCAGCAGTCTCCCAACAGCTGAGAGAGCCCTTTGCAAGTCACCTTCAAGGAAGTGAATCTTTAAAAGAGGCCCAAAGAAAGCGATGCGCGGCCTCAGTTTTCTTTGAACTTGTAAAGGATGTTTCAGTTTGAGGTGCAGCCATACTGTAAAGCTCTGTGTAGGTCACCTGACTGCCAAGTTGAGCTGGTGGTGTGGGCTTACACCACAGTGGAGTCTGACTGCGGCCGACTCCCGCTCTTCACCCTCCGTCTGTCGGGTCACCTGGGACCCCACTCTAGTGCTGCTGGTTCTGGGGGGTGCGGAGCGGTGGGCATAGGAGGTTTTTAATTTCCTAGACAATTCCTGGGGGATTACAGCTAGTGTGTTGCTTCCTTGTAAGCGTTGTCAGCTTTGATCCAGATGTTAACATACCTCCGAAGTTGAGAACTTAAAACATCTTTTGAATGAACCTGTATTTCCCAGGTCATTTCCCAAACCTGTAATAAATCACATTTCATGTGATAAAACAGACTGCACACAGTAGCCCTTATCCTGTGGGTCTCAGAAGCCCCTTTGATCCTGGGCATTGTGGCACACAGGAAGTATTGTATGAACCAGGTGAAGGAAGGCAGCTGCTCTCAGCGCGGGGACAGGTGGACGACAGCCCGAGCCCCTGGGGAGTTCCAGACTGCAGGGTGTACCGAGGTGTACAGAGCTGCCTGTGTGTCCACATCTAGAGCACAACTGTGACCTTGGGGAGTTGGATATTGTAAAATGTGGACTTGGAACTCATCACCTCTGTGGGGCACCAGGAGAGACGAGTAACCCTGATAAAGCGTCTCATGCGAGATGGTTTGCTGGGCTGAGAAGCCAAGCGTTTGTGTTTCTATAAGATGCCTTGGACGTAAAGCAGTCTGTGGCTCTCAAGTTCTGCAAGTCCTGAATTGTGTCCTATTTCACAACTAGGGGAAGGTTTCAGAGGTGAGCACGGAGCCGTCTGAGATCCTGACCCCTCTGTTGGCGCAGGGGTGTGAGGGGGTGGTGGTGGTGGTGGGGTGTGATGGCCACCTCACACCTGCCTGCTCCGCCAGGCCCACAGTGAGGCTGATGCCAAGTGCCTCTTGGGGAGCTGGGGGGGGGGGGGAAGAGTCTGCCGCGTTAATGCCTTTGCTGCACCTTTGCTCTTGTATCTCCTATAATACATCCCAGTCGCGCTAGGAAGCCCACATTTTCAAGCCAATAAATTTTGGAAATGTTGAGTAAGGTTAATGTGAAATATGTCTGTATTGGCATAGATTCTTTAAAAACATAGGATACGTGGTACAAGCCAGTAAAAGATTAGACTCTGATCCAGAAAATGATTCCTACCTGCCTCACCTCAGCACCATGTGATCTCATCCTTCTGGGAGCTCTGGCTTTCAGAGCGCGGCGCTCCTGGTTTCCATCTGTGCCTCTGAGCCCTTCCCTGTCTTCATCCCAGATGCTTCCACCATCCTCTGCGTGCTCCAGCCATGCCGTGCTCCTCAACCCCCAACGCTCTTAGTGAATCCAGCCCAGGGCTGCGCTGCCCTCCTCTCTGACCCGACAGCCTGGCTGACAGTGAACGTCCAGGTCCGGCTGGGTACGCAACCTCAGGGCAGAGGCAACACTCGTGTAATGAGCCCCGGCATACCTACCTGCCACACAACAATTTGCGAGTGTTTTATTACAAACTTCAAGCATGTCATCTACCCATAAATCAGCATTCCTCCTAAGCCAGTAAGTGCGCTCTGCCATAATTACATCTCATGGGATTGACAGTAACTCAGTGTCATTCACCATCCAGTTTATAGCCTCGTTTTCCTGATTGTTTCAATGATGTGTTTGTATGATTGACTTGTTTGAATTGGGATCCAGTTAGCTTCCTCTGCTCAACAAACTACCTTAAAATGTACTGGCTTAAAGCAGCCATTCTTATGATCCTGGTAGTGGGCTGGGCTGGGCTGGGCTGGCTGGGTTCAGGCTGGCCTCCCTCAGCGTCTGTCGATATGCAAGTCAGCTAGGGGAACAAGGGTGACAGAGCAAGAAAGCAAGCGTCACTGCAAGCACTTGTCACTCTGATTGGGCCGCCTTTGGTACACCCCAGTGGCTGGAGCACATGACACAGGCACCCCTGCCTCCGTGTGGCGTGGGGCCAGGGACAGGAATCACTGCAGCTGTCCGGCGATTGTCCCCGCTACGGCCTCCATTCCATTCTTCTGTCTCTTACGTCCCTTATTCTGGAACAATATCTCTTGCTGATTTTTTTTTTTATGTCCCACACGAGATTTGGCTGACTTTCCTCATAATAAGTTTGTGTCCCGTGGGAACATTAGCCCTGCACATTGCTGTGGATTTGCTGTGACCCTAGGATGTGGTAGAGAAGAGAGCAGGTGAATTCAGGCTCAGTTTTCAGATAAATGGACGTAAGAGACGGTAGGTAGGTATGCTAGCGAGCCAGGCGGGTAAAAGATAGGTTGTAAACCAGCTGGCTTCTAGCTAGGAAGCCGTGAGTTCTGTTGTCCCCTGGAGTACATGTCTGCATGGCTCTAAGATATCAGAAGGCTCAGGAGCAGCTGTATCCTTGACACCCATGTAGAGCTTGGCACAGAGTGGGTACTTGGTCAAGTTTTTATTTAGAGGAATTGAATCAGCAAAGACCAAACCAAATAGCCCCAGGATAGTGGGTCATAATCAGGTGAAAGGAACAGTGACAGGAAGGAACGGTAGTTAAAAAATGTAAGACTAAGCCACATAGTAGGGTAAATGTTTTGTAGAAGCATTATTCTGTACCTATAGGTGTGTGTACAGGTTCACAATGTAAAAACTGTATTTTCTTTTGCTAGTTTTAAATTTGTTGTGTTGAAAATCACGATAGAATTAACCATTTTAAAGGGAGGAATTCTGTGGCATTTAGTGCATTCGCAGTCTTGTACAACCACCACCTCTATGTGGTTCCAACCAAAAAGGGTATTTCTTACACTGGGGGAGTGTCAGTTTCTTTCAGACTTTTTTGATCTCTAGCAGCTCATCTGTCTTGTGTAGCTCGGGCTGTCATAACAAAATACCATTGACTGAGCAGCTTCAAGAACAGAAATTCATTTCCCACACTTCTGGAGGCTGGAAGTCTTGAGATCAAGGTGTCGGCAACGCAGGTTTCATCCCGAGGCCTCTTGGCTTGTAGGTCACTGCCGTGGCACTGCGTGCTCACACGGCTTCTTTGGGCACGTGGATGTTGTCTATAAGGACATGAACCCTGTTAGATCAGGGCCCCACCCTCATGGCCTCATTCACCCTCATCGCCTCCCAAAGGCCCCATCTCAGATCCCCACACGCTGGAGGTGAGGGCTTCAACATGTGAGTCTGGGGGTGAGAGGGACACAAACTCTCAGCCCACAATAGGCCTCTCCTCCAAAATGCATTTACCTATTTTTGCCAGCTGCAGGAGTCAGCAACTTGAGTTGTGGTCAACTCCAAATTCCTGTGTTGAAGCAGCCTCGTTACCATGGAAACTTCCCCCTCCCCATGTACATGTGGCATGACCCGAGGGTGAAGAGGCCCCCAAGGCAGACATCGCCCTCACTCAGGATGAGGGAAAGTCTTGATCGGGATCCTCCTGCATCCACTCTGCACAGCTCGTCGCCCTTTTAAAGGACTCGTCTGCACGCTCCATGCATCTCCCCAACCCTGCAAGACAAGGCAGGCCGGGGGCTCCTGTTCTGCAGATGAAGAAAACAACAGTGAGGCGAAGGCGCTTGCTCAGGGCGCAGTGGGTTCACCAGCGAGACGCGCGTGGAACCCAGGACTCCTCGGGCTCCTGGTACAACACGCTCCTGGCGCTCGGAACCTCAGCGTTCAGTGCCATTCCCCGCGCGACGCCTCAAGATGGACGTCCGAAATCCGCTTTCGGGCAGAACGCGAGTATGGCGAGAGGGTTTTCATACCCACGAGGAATGCGCACCTGTGTTCTAGTTGTGACAGATTCACATGTGGAAGAGATTAGATTCACTTGGAGCAATGGAGAGAAGAAGGGAGGCTGTTCCCATCCTGACAACGAATTTTCTCACGCTGCGTGCTGTTCCAAAGAAACGCAGCGGGGATTTCCCGATCCCTGGACGCATTCAACAACTTTCTGTGACTGTTGTACAGGAGACCCAACAAAGGGATGGGTGTGGACTAAATGCTTTTTAAGGGTCCCTGCCCGCCTTGAGAACCCACCGGATTCCATGTATGACTTCAGGTGTAACCCTGAACACGACAGCCCCCCTGTTCTGTAGGCCAGTGGGCTAAATGGTCCGTGTGGGAATTGAGGTGGTTTTTAAAAGCTCCGATTCCCTGGTCCTCTTCATAAATAGAGTTGCCTCAGACTGCTCAAGAGCTCTCAGCTTCAGTACAACTGAGGCAGAGAACACGCGGTTTTCATCCTGAAGCTGATGTCCAGCAAAGCGAACCTGTTTTCCTGGCACATGTGCCCTCACAAACCCTGGAGACGATAGCCTTACCCCAAAGCCCATAAGCTGCTTTTCTGAACATCCGTCCCCCGCTCCCCCCGAGCCTGCGTTGTGCTGGGTGTTGGGGGAGGGTACACGGGTCCTAGAGCTCCGTCTCACTGGACGCTGACTCCAGAGAAACAAGTCTTGCTAGAGCCGGTGGTGCCCAGACTGTGAGAATTCACAGGCCAGTAGATCTCCAAAAGGACAGTAGGAGAAGGGTGGCAACTGTTTATTTTGGCCAAGTAAGGATTTTTTGTTTCTAAACTACCATCTACTCTCATCTTGATTTGATTAAAAAAAAAAAAAAAGACACTTTGTCCTGCTTAGCAGCTACACTCTGCAGTGTTCATGGGTCAAGTGTCGTGATGTTGGCAGTTTTCTTTCAAATCATTGAAAAGGAAAAGTACCAGAGATGAGCACATGCAGCAAAATGTTTGTTGTCGAATCTCGGTGTTGACTGTGTGAGTGTTTATTATTTCAATTTTACTATCCTAAAATTCATGACGAATTGTAGAAAATGCAAAATTAATGACAGAAGGCAAATAAGTGGTTTCCTGGGGTTGCAGGAGTTGGAGGAGTTGACAGATGGGTGTCACGGAACTTTTGGGGTGATGCAAGTGTTCTATGTCTTCATCATAGCGGTGGTTAAACTCATCAGACTATACACTGAAAATGAGTAAATTTGGTTGTATGTAAAGCATACCTCGATAAAGATAGGGAGGAAGAAACAGGACATGTTAATGTCAAAAACCGAGAACCTCATAACCTTAGAAAAAAGGACAATCCCGTATGTTGAATACATTTGGTTCTATGGAAAAACTCACAGCAGTGTCCTTATTTTCCTCATTTCTCCACCACACACAGAAAAATTCATCACAGACCAAGGGTTGGGAATGACCACCAGAGACTGTTTTCAGAAAGAGTGAGGTCTGGCATCCAGTCCCCCGATTTCCAGGTCTACACCCCCCTGATGGCCTGGTGCCGACACAGCTGCAGGAGAACGGGCCCAGGAGCCCCCACAGCTGCACACTCGTCCTGAGACCTGCAGCAGCAGCTCAGGGCAGCCCCTCCAATGGGGACACTAAAGGAAGCGCCCTAGCCATTTGTCTTTCTCATTTTTGTATTTTTTTAGGGAAAAATTAGATAGTCTTCTAAATTTGTGACTTATATTTTAACTTTTCTGTCATAGGAGCAGTAAATGATTATTTGAGTAAAATTTTAAATTACAAAAAAATTTTAAAAACCTGACATTCCTACCACACAGATCACCAATGTTAGCTTCTTAGTGTATATCTTTGCCAATTGTGTATGTAATGTACATGTGTATATATAAATAAATATACACATATGTGTGCACATATATGCACACATAGACAGGAATATCTGATCCTACTGTACATACCATCCTATGACCACCTTTGCCAGTCACACTCTGCCTTCCTTTCCCAGATATTTCCATCTTACCTGTCAGCTAGATCATACTCGGATTTTCCCAATGGACCCAAAATGTCTTATACCTCCTGTTTGTCCATTTGAGCATCCAACCTGGGACCAAACATCACATCTGATATTGAGTCCTAAGTGTCTTTTACTCTAGTTCATCTTTTTTCTATGATGTTGATGAAGGAAAGACACAAGCTACTGTCTGGATTCATCTGGAAGCTAGCTCTCTTGTGTCAGTTAGCTGGTTCCTCGATTCCTTTTATTTCCTGTAAACTAGAAGTCATGTCTAGTAAGGCCTGATGGCTTCAGTTACTTCAAGGTGACGACACATCCCACCTGGGCAACACCGTTGGTGATGCTGAGACTGACCATGGACCATGCCTGGTCCCCGTTACGCAGTAAGGTTTGCCCCAGTGATGAGCCCAGAATCCATATGGCATCCCCTTGGTGCTATAGGGACCGCCATTTCCCCGTCAGCTCTTCACCTAATGGTTTTGACACCAATGAATAATCCTTGTCTGAGTCAATTTCATCCATGTTTTAAAACATATGTTTTGGTATTATTCAAGTGTGGTGAGGCCAACAGATCAGGAGACAATTGCCACTGAAGAGATAGTTTGTTACAATTCCCAAAAAGAGGGGGCAGGCCATGCCATACAGGGCCTTATGGGGAAGCACCAGGGTTGGTCAGGAGGCAGAGGCATCAGCGGGAAAACATGGGTAAGAATTGTTTTCTGGTTTCCACGGGGAAGAGCCGGTGAGGCAGGACAAGCAGGCTTAAGATGGGTGAGTCTTAAGTAACTGCAGCAGGTTCTGGGGTGTAGGGTTCCTCAGCCCTGGATAAAGGCCAGGGCAGTAGTAGCTCAGCATGTGAGATGAGAGGTGTTGGGGTGTATGGACTCTGGATCGGTTAGTTTGCATCTGAAAGGCAGATACTTACTCCAGAGGCTAGAAGGCCCATATTTCAAAGCATTAGAAATACAGAAAATAAAAAAGCATGATTAATACAATTAGTTTGTCGAATGATATTTTTTCTCTCATTTCTTTTACATTTATTAACGGGCATTTTTTTTTAAGATTTTTTTTCATAATTGGGGAATTGGGGAGGGGGACCATCCAAGTTGTTGTTCTTCGCTCTTAGTTGTGGAGGGTGCCAGTCGCCATCTGGCTTCCCGGCGGCAGCCCGTGGCCTCTAAGCTCAAGGTGCTGTGTTCAATCTTAGTTGCCGGTGGGCGTAGCCACCATCCCATGCGGGAGTCGAGCCAGTAGCCTTGTTGTTAAGAGTGTATGCTCTAGGGCCGGCCGAGTGGCGCGTTGGTTAACAACTGGCTTGGGATGCCAGAGGGCTCTGGTTCAGATCCCACATATGAGGGCCAGTGACACTGCCCTCTACAGCTAAGATGCTGAACAACAGCTCAACCTGGAGCTGGGCTGCCGTGAGTCGCCGGCGACGGCATAGGCTGCAGTCCCCTGCTGCAGTGGGCTGCCATAAGCTACCATGTGTAGCCGGCGGCCAGCGTGAATAGCCAGCAGCTGTCGTGAGCGGCCATCCAGAAGCCAGCGACTGATCTGCCTCGCCCGGGAAGAGCGCAATGATGGTGCCAACTTGGGCCAGTGAAGCAACGTCCTCCACAACTAGACTGAAGAACAAAAGGACAGCAACTTGTGTGTTCCCCTTCCCCCAATTCCCCAGCGCTGTTCCCCTCCCCCAATTCCCCAATAAAATCTTTTAAAAAAAAAAGAGTGCATGCTCTATCCACTGAGCCATCCAGGCGGCAGCTCAGCTCAAGGTGTCAAGTTCAGTCTTAGTTGGGGGCGGGTGTAGCCCACCATCGAACAGGCAGCCTTGTTGTTAGGAGCACGTGCTCTCAACAGCTGAGCCATTCTGCCACCTGTTGAAAGCTCAGCGACAGCTCAGCTCAGGCACAGCGTCACTGGCCCATGTGGGAATTGAACCGATGGCCCTGTTGCTCAGAGCTCACACTCTTAAGCCAACTCTTAACCAACTGAGTCACGTGGCCAGCTTAATTGGCATTCTTCTGTAAAAGTTTTTTTCCTTAGAAATTTTTTGTAAAAATCCCCAACTTTAGCTGTTGCTACTTATTACACTGTTCTAATCCAGTGACATTGATTGACTAGACATGTGTTGAGGTTCCTATTCTAGTTACTAGATAGCTGCAAGATAGTAAAAAATCTCTAAGCTCCTGGAACTTATATTCTAGTAGTGGTAGGGTAGGAGGACAGCCAATAAACAAGATTAAATAAAAGTAAATTATGTTATATATTAAATAGATGGTGATAAGTGCTATAGAAAAAGTGCAGAGAAGAAGGACAGAAGTGTTGAGTGAGGTGGTATAAAGTAGGGTGTAGATGATAGGGTGACATTGAAGTAGAGACCCTAAGGAATTAAGGGAGTGAGCCAAGGGACTGTCTGTGGGGAGAGTTCCAGATGAGGAAACAGTAAGTGCAAAGGCCCTGAGGCAGGTTTGAAGAAAAGCAGAGGCCAGTGGACTGGAGCAAAGTGGGTGAGGTGGTGAGAAATAAGGTCAGAGGTAACAGGAGGCAGGTCACACAGAGCCTTTGTAGGCATTATCCAGACTTAGGTGGGAAGCCATTGGAGTGTTTCAACAGATGCTATCGCCACAAACAAGCTTCCGTTTAGACTTGCCTCTCTCCCAGACGCCAGGTCAAGTCAAATGTGTGAGTAAATGTGTTTAGGGGCCACAGCGTGCAATCCTTCACTCCCCAAGTGTTCCTGGGAGCAGCTGTTGTTCTGGGCACTGGGATACAAAAGTGAAGGGACTGCAACGGCATGGGTCCTGCCCTCATGAAGTCTAGAGTCAAGTGCTGGAGGAGACATGAAGGGACCTCCCACGCAAGTGTCAAATGCACTGTGTCTCTAACCTAGCCCCGGAGGTCGGGGAAGGGTCCCCTGAGCAGGAATCAGAAGGGCGAAGAGTCAGTGAGGTGAGGAGAGGGTGGTTCAGGCAAGAACAGGGAGTGTGCGGTGCAGGGCCATGTGGAAAGGCAGCTAGAGTTTTAAAGACGTGTGTCTGTGTCCTGAGAGCAATGGGAGAGGGTATGCAGGGGGTGACAGCAGGGCTTGGAGGGTCCTGGAGGGTGGAGATGGTGCAGTCAGACAGCAGGAGACCTTATGGTCCAGGAAAGCAGTGGGGCTGATATGGACTCAGTGGAAAGACATGGACAGATTCCAGAGACACGGGGGACATGGACAGGACATGTGATGTGATCATAGGACACAGGGTGCAGGGGACGGACCGGTCTAGTTTGGTTTGCATAGTACCAAGGTTCCTCTTGTTGACATTTCTCCTTGACCTTTTTGTTTATATCTCTGCCCCCAAGGTTGCATTATCTGCCTGCTGAGTTTAATCAAGTGTTTTCTAGTGTTGAACACTAGAAAATCCTGTCCTGTGGAGGGATAATCAGTCTATTTCCAGAACCCAAAGAGGGTTAGGAGAAAAAGCAGCTTTCCTTTAGCGGTTGTCCCTCCCACCACACCGTCCCCTCTGGGCATGACAGGCCCTGCACCTGAGCCCCTCTGGGAGGAAACCCTTGCCTAATGCTTAGAACTGCTGAAACTACCAGTTCACCCGTCTCAACACTAATCCAACACTAATTCCACTCTGCTCCTTAGGTGGGATTTGGCTTCGACACGTTAAGACCTGGGTGCTGGGCCCCCCATCCAGATTCCCTACAAATTCCCCATGCACGTCAGCCAAGGGCTACGTGGGTAGACAGCAGGCTGCCACCCCAGAAGGCACAGAGACCTCCTCGCCTCCCAGGACCAACTGGCTGGTTGCACAAGGTATGTGACCACCCTCGCACAAGCCTTCTCAGAAACTCAGGGCAGGCACAGGGAAGGGTAAGGGTCAGAACGCCGGGCGTTTTCACGTAGCCTGTCTCCATTTCTCCTTTTCTGTGTAGTTTCCGTGGACTTTGCTTGTTAAGGAAACTCAAAGTGCGTTAAAGTCCACACAGCTAAGATGGCCTCTTCATTGTCTGTACAGCTGTATGTGTGTGTGTGTGTGTGTGTGTGTGTGTGTGTGATGACGGCGGTGGTAGTGGTGGTGGTGTAACGACACAGCAGGAAGAGGAAAAGCACCACTTGGTATGAATTTCTGAACAGAACTTTTGGGGATTTAATATATTTTGAAAATAATATTTGTGAAGTGGTTGTGTTGTGCTTTTCAGGAACTTTTTTAATTGCCATAAGACATTATCATGACAGAATTTTAAATTCCACCTGGCTAAGTGTGATAATACCTAAGGTTAGTCGGAAGGTAAAACCTTTGTATTGAAATCGAGCTGGACTTGCTGGTGAGGTTTACTAAGAAATGTTTGAGGCTTATCAAGAGAAATAAAACACATCGTTTTAAAAACAGCACACCGCAATGCAATACAAACTAGACAAAGAAATGTTTGAGGCTTATCAAGAGAAGTAAAACACATTGTTTTAAAAACAGCACACCGTGGGCCGGCTGAGTGGTGCAGTGGTTAAGAAGAACTGGCTTGGGACGCCAGAGGGCCCCGGTTTGGATCCCACATATGAGGGCCAGTGACACTGCCCTCCACAGCTAAGATGCTGAACAACAGCTCAACCTGGAGCTGGGCTGCAGTGTGTCACCAGCGACAGCGTAGGCTTCAGCCCCTGTGGCAGTGGGTTGCCATGGGCTACCGTGTGTAGCCAGCAGCCAGCGTGAGCAGCCAGCAGCCACAGTGAGCGGCCGTCCAGAAGCCGGCGACTGATCTGCCTCACCCGGGAAGAGCGCAATGATGGTGCCAACTTGGGCCAGTGAAGCAACGTCCTCCACAACTAGACTGAAGAACAAAAGGACAGCAACTTGTCTGTTCCCCTTCCCCCAATTCCCCAGCACTGTTCCCATCCCCCCAATTCCCCAATAAAAACCTAAAAAAAAAAAAAAGGCAGCACACCGCAATGCAATACAAACTAGACAAAGACCTTATTTAATCAAACATGGATAGTGAGGCAGGTAGAAGGGATGTCCGATGCATGTACAGTGCCTCTCTCGTGAGTAGGTGTTAGCCCCGGAATGTGCCTGGCTTTACAGTAAGCATTGTTTTACCTTTCCCCAGCCCTCCAACACCTGACATACATCCCAAGGTGGAAAAAGCTGCCAGGGACACATAACATGGCAGCCAGTAAGTCTACACCCAGCCATGTTATCTTCAAGAAGACTTCCCGGGACAAATCGGTAAGTGCGACAGAAGTGAGTGGCTGGATGGAAATGTTGTTTGTTTGTTATTAAGCTTTTTCAAGAATAGACGTGAGCAACTCCAAGGCCCTGTGAGGTTGGGGGACGCTCTATGTCTATATTCCATTTCTGTCTGAGATGGACAATAAATGAGATAAAACGAATGAGTAAATTGCAGAATATAACTTCTCTTTAATCGCAATGAGACGTTAGTCCTGAGACCCTTAATTTTCTCCTAATCTCTCAGTCCCTGCGCCCTCACCCCCAAGTTGACTTGTTTTCCTAGCCAGCCTTGAACCCATGACTTACCATTTCCAACACTCTTTTGTCGATGCCTGTAACTCATTTGGCCCTTTGCCGGTCATCTCACCTGCCTGCCTGGGAAAAGCCCTACAGCTGACTCGATGCAGCTCTCCACCTGCTGTGCAGGACTCTAGCCACCATGCTCATGACCTCACTGTGCCTTCAGGGCCACTGGCTCAGGGACACGCCCAGCTGCTCCCTTTCTGCTACACTGCCCTATGGCTGCATGGCCACCAGTATCCTGGCTGTCTGCGTACTCGGCAGAGACGATGCTACTGTTGGCTCCACCGGGGGCACGTTAGAAGCACTAGACATGCCCAAGAACTTCCCGGCATGGGAGACCGGAGGGAGGGTCCACCCCAGTCTCCATGGATGGGGTCTCCTTGCTCCACTTGATGGCTCCTTTGGGGCCAACGGTCTAGCTCAGCACCATCAATACAAACCATATATTTTAATTTTTGAATTTTCCAGTAGTTGACATTAAAAAAGGAAGAAGAAAGAGGCGGAATTTATTTTAACATTGTATTTTATGTAACACAATACATCCAGAAACTGTTATTTTAACATGTAGATGACACAAAAATTACTGATGGCATATTTTACATTCATTTTCTACGTGTTTAAAATCTGGTGTGTATTCTACATATCTAGCTCATGCCAATTTGGAATGGCCCTATGTAAAGGGTCCAGGAGCTACCTGTAAGTAGTAGCTACCATATTGGACAGTGTGGACCTAAATCATTCTTCTAGTTGACTTCTGAGACCTGTACTGAGCTCCCCAAAAAACAACAACAAGGCTATACACAGGCACTCTCTACTCTCTCCTATCTTAGCTGAGGAACGCTATCATTTTCATCAAGTACTCTGATTTGTTGGGGTGACAAGTTGGGTACCCCTCAACCTTTCATTCTCCACACTCTTTTCCAACTTGTGTCTTTCCAGCACACTTTATCTTGACTTCTGAAAGTGGGAGAGAGAACCCACTCCTGCTGGGCCATTTCATTTCCCAACTAGTTAATTCCTCACACCTGAGAGACATCCTTTGAGCCAAGAAATTCAGAATTTTTTGTATATGGGGGAAAAATAATTCATCAATTAATGTCTCACACATTAGGACCATTCCAACTGCAACCTCTGTATGGCTGCGGGCGTGGTGTGCCAGGGCTCTGGGGCCATTTCTGTCTGATTCTCTCCACTCCGCCCTCTTCTGTGATCTTTATCCTCCAGCTGGTGACAAGGATGCTGCAGGTGTCTCACCCTCATTTCCTCCCAAAAGAAAGAAGAGGCTGTTGCTTCCTGGGATCTCTTTTTAGAAGTGAGGAAATATTTTCCCAGCAGCCCCTTAGCAGACTTCTCTCATATCTCATTGGTCAAAACTGGGCGACACGCTCGCCCTAAACCAACCCTGAATCAGAGGAGTTGGATGATCATAATTGGGTCCAGCCAATCAAGAGTCATCCTCCGGGCTGGCCTTCTCTTAGCACAGGACCACGTGGGGGATGGAGGACCCTGACACAGCGGGTGACTTTTGTCCCGGAAGAAGCCGCACGTGGCTGTTGGGTGGGCAAGCAGCAGGTCAGCGGCCGTCTCATGTCCTTCAGCCCCGTTCTCCACCTGCCCCTGTCCTTTCCGTTTCCTTCCAATTGCAGCAGGAGAGAACTGGCCTCACACTGTGCTCCCCTCTGAGGTTCAGGCTACTCACACCACCTCTGTGGGGTCCTCCACCGTCAGCCCTCCCTCCCGGCTGCATCTGCAGCTTCCCCTCTCTTCCAGCACTTGGCCTGAGCACAAAACACAAGCACCGACCTCACGCACCTAAAAACACCGCCACCAACTCCCCTTGACCTTGTCCCCTTTCAAGCTCGTCTTCCTTCACAGCCAAGGCGTGCAAAACAAGAGAACGCTCACCTCTTCACCTACCTTCTTCCCTCCCGCTCACCCTGCTGGCCGCCCCGCTCCCAACTGTATCATTTGCCTGACTGGCTTTCCCCTTGCCAGTCCATTCTCCACTTTGCTGCTAAAGTGACCAAAGTCTCAGTAGTCTCCTCTGTAAAATGGGGTGTTCCTGTATCACAGAGTTGTGAGGATTAAATGATGTAGGTTGGTGCCTGGGGCATGATAAATACTCTAAATGCTGTTTAATTGCTGGCCTTTCATACTGCTCAAAACGCTTCAACGCCTTCCTTGATTCTTTAGGGTCAGATCCTCCAAAACCCTTTTTGGCGTGCATTCCCATTCGGCGGCCATGCACCTGCAGATGAAACCTTTAGCAGCTCCAGAAGCATCCTCCTGGTGCCGGGCTTTGTATACACTGAATTTTATCTTGCCCGAAAGCATCCCCTCACCATCCCAGTCACCTGGCTCTGCTGTTCTTCAGGTGCCTCAGCATCAATAATACAAATAAGCCGAAGGCACAGGGATTCACTCCAGGACATCCAGTGTGAGGATGTAGATATAGGAGACGAATCGATGCCAACGAAAATGACTTTGGGTGTTCCTGGATCTAAAAATATGAATTTGAGAGTCTCAGGGAAGAGGGGGGCTGGCCAGAGAGCACACACTCACTGGGGCCCTTAGCAAATATTCACTGAATCCCTGTTAGGTACTAGACACTGTCATAGACACTGAAAGATGGATGAAGGACAGAATTCTTGCCATCAGGGCACTCACAGTTCTGTAGGTTAAAGTGGTGAGTGGCGGTGAAGCAACCCATGCTCTCCCACAGAGGGGGTTGGCAAAGAGACCTTTGCTGCCAGGGCATGCAAATGGAGAGGATGACGGAGACACTGGTCACCTCCCAGCCCCCACCCCACCCCACACCCAGCTCCACCCTCCCCCGTTCCTCAGAGCGTGGGTTCAGGTTGTCTGTACCGAAGCTCCCCTGGTAGGATTTCAGGGACTGACCTAGAACTCCCAGCTCAGTCTAAAAATCCTTTCAACCAGGAGGGGAGAGCTTTCATTCATAGCTAGAAATTAAAGGCTTAACATGCGGAGAAGCTACATTTGCATAGGTATAGATTTCCACTAAAGCATTATCAGTTAAGTCAACAAGTTTAACTGGTTGATATCAGACCCAGGCTTGATGGGAAAAGGTGGAGAGAACAGGGACCATCCAAAAGGGTGGGAAGAATTCCTTGGAGCAGATCTATGAGGCGGAGGAAAGAACACACCTTGTGGGCATTATCGGCTCTGCCCACCGCCCAGTGGGGAGCGGAGGTGATGGATGGGCACCCCACAGCCCAGCAGGGGAGCGGAGGTGATGGATGGGTATCCCACAGCCCAGCAGGGGAGCGGAGGTGATGGGTGGGCACCCCACAGCCCAGCAGGGAGCTGCTGAGCCAGGCAGCTCCTCTTCTCAAGACTAATCAGAATGCTTTAGTTGTTGCTGATTTTTCATGTGACTGCGTTAGATGAGTGTTCTTTGCCATTTAGAATCCGTCCCTGTTCTTCCCACAGGTGACCATCTACCTGGGGAAGAGAGACTATATAGACCACGTCGATCAAGTCGAGCCTGTGGGTAAGTTGAGTTTGGAATCAGATTTTCACACTGTATTTTCTTTACGTCATCAGGCAACTGTTAGTTTTGTATTTTTAAAAATTGGCTCTATTGATAACCTAATCAAAGAAATGCCAGTTAAAACATCAGTGAGGTGCCGCTGTCTGATTGGAAACAATGTTAAGGAGTGTGGGGGAGACAAAGGACTCGTTTCTAGACGATATAAAGAATACTCAAAACTCAACAGTAAAAAAAACCCAAAAACAAAATCCAGTTAGAAAATAGACAAAGGACATGAAGGAGCATTTCATCAAAGAAGACATATGGATGGCAAGTCAGCACGTGGAAAAATGTTTAACATCATTAGTCATTAGGGAAATGCAAATTAAAACCACAGTGAAATATCATTCTACACCTGTCAGAGTGGCTGAAATGAAAAATAGTGCCAACTCCAAAAGCTGGTGAGGATGCAGAGAGACTGGATCACTCGTACGTGCCTGGTAGGAATGTAAAATGCAACAGCCACTCTAGAAAATAGTTGGGCAGTTTCTTTAAAAAAACTAAACATAGACTTACCACACGACCCAACAGATACACTCCTGGGCATTTATTTATCCCAGAGAAATGCCAACTGTGTCCACATGAATACCTGTACATGTTTGTTCGTAGCAGCTTTATTTGCAATAAGGAACCAAAATGTCCCTCAGTGAATTAGGTTACCCAAGGTGAGGCACATCACACGGTGGAATTCTACTCAACAACAAAAAGAATGAATGACCGACACACGCCATGGCTCACAGATCTCCAGGGCATTATGCTGAGTGGGAAAAGCCAGTCTCCAAAGGCCATATGCTGTATGGTTTCACTCATATAACGTCCTAGAGATAAAAAAAGCTATAGAAACTGGAAACTGATTCTCAGTTGCCAGCGGCTAAGGGTGATGGGGGTGTGACGATAAAGAGAGAGCCTGATGGTGAGGGAACAATTCTGTCCCCAGATTGTAGTGGTGGTCACACCGATCTCCACATGTGATAAAATGACTTAGAGCTGCATGCACATTGTACCCATGTCAACTTCCTGGCTTCGATATTGTACTGTAATTATCTAAGATGTAACCACTGGGGGAGCTGGATGATGGACACACAAGGACCTCTCTGTGCTATCTTTGTCACTTCCTGTGAATCCATAATTATTTCAGCTCAAAGTGTTATTTTAAAAAAAAGGAAGTGTATAAAACTGGCAGTTAGGCACTTAGCATGAGAATGTCGCTCAGCAAAACCCTTCCTGGAAGGTCATTGGTTGTGTGTTATCAAAAGGCAAATCCGGCTCTCCAGTGGACGGGAAGGGAGTTTCATCTCTAAGGATGTTCACTGCAATATTAATTATAATGGAAGCAAGCTAAATTTGAAACAATGTAAATCCCCCAACAAAAGGGAATTAATTAAAAAATTTATGCTACATTCACTCATTGGAACATGTGTAGCCATTAAAATGATTAATATATATTTGTGTGCATGTGTGCATGTGTGTGTGTATGAATAGATGTTTGCAATATAGGTGAGTGAGGAAAGCAGTTAACTGAATAATGCGTACAGTAGGATCTCATTTTTTTGGTGAAAATGCTCATGTAAGTGTATATACATCTGGAAAAAAATTCTGCACAAATATCCTGACAATGGTTATCTCTAGGTAGTGGAAATTTTGGTGACTTTGCGCTCTCTGCTTAATTTTCCTATAATGAACATGGATTACATGTGCAATTTAAAAAAAACTATATGTACATATAGTTTATATTTTTTAATGGAGTTCTATAAATAAATAGTGTATCTATTCTATCTGTGAAGAAGGCCTCTGAGCCCTTTCGTCTCCTGCACCCTCACTGCTCTCTCTCCTTTGGTGTAGATGGCGTCGTGTTAGTGGACCCGGAGCTTGTGAAGGGGAAGACAGGTGAGGGGGGAGCAATGGTCTGTCTAGGCTGGTGCGGGGAGGGAGGCATTCGGGGTGG